GAAATGGTAGCAAACGCAAGTTACAATAAACGGACGCTGATATCTCAAAAAGTAACCTGACTCCCTATAATTTGATGTAGGTCAATCGAACCCCTATATGGACAGGTGCATTTTGATATATAACACTATGGGGGTAAGCTTCAATTTTTGTTGAAATAAATTATGGCTCACTACAAGTTAATGCCTGTACGATTCCATACTGCAAAAGAAGCACTATGCCCCCCCTCAAAAGAAAAAAGTAGGTCCTGCCGGGATTCGAACTCGGGACCGAGTGTGTTCGAGTCGTGCTCCCTAACCACTAAGCTACCAGTGATGAGGTTTTTTCGAAAAGTAAAAGTAGTGGATTTATTAATGAAATTGTCGGCTCTCTAGCAAAAACACGTAGCAGCTACTTGCGTACCGACAATTGTCGGTTCTCTATCTGGCACTACTAGGTGACGATAGAGTGCTGACAATTGTCGGTACCCCAGCAAATACCCCTGGACAGTCTTCAGTACCGACAAAATTGTCGGTCCTGGAGCCACTCCGATATGAAACATTTCAGAACTAGATAACAGCAACGCGAGGTGGAGCAAATCCCATCAAACTTTTGATCTCAAAATCGTTCAACTACTTTTCAAGTTTTAGTAAAAAAGTAAAATAAGACGAAAAATTTCGAACGCAATGCGTGACATATACATAATTCGCGTGAAAAGTCCGAACGAAATGCGTACGTTTTGTTTTCGGCGTTCGTATTTTTGCTGTGTAGACGAACTTTTTTAGAAATTTTTCTACTGAAACATTTTTGCTTGACAATTACCAGGTAAAATGCGTATTTGCGTGCACAGGGAGCTCAAGTTGGAACTATACATAATCGAATAGTAAACTGGACTGGGAAATCAGAGGTCGAAGGGTTTTTCAATAAAATATATTCCAAAAATTCTTGACACCTAGTAAGTCATAGGGTCGTAGGTCGAAGGGTTTTTAGTACATTCCGTCTTTAGTGTATAATTACAGCATAAAAATGTAAGAACTTTTTAGTATGAGTTTTCTAGCGTTCAGAACTTTGATTCATCACGTGCATTGCATCAATGAACTTGGCAATATTCAAAATTCTCTGATTTATATAATAAATTAGGGATCATTTTGCTGTTGTATTCCAATCAGATAGTTTCTACTCGGAAAGTATGCTTCCTCTTGTCACCCATCTCAAAATAGATCTTTTCTGTATTCTCAGTCTTTTTTTACTCAAGATTAAGTATACATCTCACATATTTCAATCTTTACATGTACCTCAAATATCTTAGATATTCAAAAAATTATAAAAATTACTGAAATACTGCAAAAATTAACTCAAAAGTTGGGGGGTTCGCATAATTGCTGTAAAAGGTGGGTTCGAATTTTTTGAGGCAAGATTTGGGGTGGGTTCGCACGAACCATCAAACCCCTCTCCCTACGGCTCTGAGGTGGGACCCCGATTAAGACAAAGCTAAATTAAATCAAAAGTACAAAAAATGACTGCCATATTTTTTGATAAAGACACATGTTTTTAAAATCTGTTTACCTTGTATATGAATTGTATATCTTAACTAAAGAAACATGTCAAAGTTAACATCACACATAAACGCATTTTTCATAACTATAAATTGGAGGTGCAATGGATCCCCAAAGCTACATGAAGGGTGTGAAGTTGAAGGCTAATTTTTGAAAGTTTCAAGGAGTAGCCTTGCAACAGTCACACATTTGCAAGAATCCAAAATTTCTACAAATCATCTTACCTTCCCAGGAACAACGAAAGAGCATGAAAATGTGCACTTCTTGCATTGTTAGAGTATAATAAAGCTCAAACCATTATTTCAGGGGTGAGAAGAAATGAGATGTCATGTATTATCATGATGAGAACAGGCTTTGTATAAAAAACCTCCTACCCACGTACCCTCGTACCCACGTACGTGGGTCCTGACCCAGTCTTTAAAGAGTTAAATCTTTAACATTTTTTAAACATTATTCCATCTCAATGTATGCTTAATTATGGATGAATTTATGTACCCATATGCCTTTATTTCTAGATCGGACATCTGTCTCGTCATAAAATAAAGCCGGCATTGCATAATGTTCATTTGAGCTATTTGAGTGTTGTTTTTGATATATCAAAGCGATTTTTTGTTGATCGGGCAGTCTTACAGTGTACAACCAATCTATTGCTTGGCGCAAATTCGACCAAGCGCATATATTTAGTATTTTTGTCAGTCATACTTTTAATAGTCCTATACCTTTTAATTTACCATAATGTATATAGAATTTTGTATAAATGAAGTGTAATTATATCTATGACAATCTAAATAACGTTACAAAGATCGATGCGCAGATCCACGTTTTATTGAGTTTGAATCTCACGCGTCATGCACGTGTAGTTATTAGCCGCCTAAACTTCCCGGGACATTTACAATCTGCATAAGGTAACAGGAGGCACGGATTGCACTGAACGAAGGCTAGGAGATTGCTAATCAGCACTGATGTGTTATACAGGTAAGACTGCCCGATCAACAAAAAACATTTCAACATATCAAAAACATAAATCAAATAGCTCAAAAATAATGAACATTTATGCAATTCCGGCTTTATTTTATTTTACTAGAGGCATGTCAGACCTATAAATAAAGGCATATGGATGCATAAATTCATCTATAATTCAGGATAAACTGAGATTGAATAATGTTTTAAAGATCTAATAGCAAAGGTTTTGCAAAAATAAATCAATGTAGTATAAAACAAATGTATGTATAATGAAGAAATAAATATATAATGAAAAAAATAGATATGTGTTTGTAATATTGGTATAAACTTAAGTGTCACTATCTCTTTCATTTTTCAACAAATATAGGCTCACATGACATGTGACGCGGGGCAGGCAATTTTGATCTATCGTAGACCATATCAGTATCAAATTGCTGATATTTCAACCTCGTCTTGCGAGGCCATTTTGATTTGAAACATCTTGAATTTGGTGTCAAAATGAAGCTGGTCACGCCCACTTTCAGAGTTATCAATGAATCATTTACTACGACTACTATATTCATTTAGGAGGCGTCTAAAGTTAACCAATCAGAAAGACAATTGTTCCATATATGGCAGTTCATTAACATATTCAGTGTTTACTACTGCTTTTCCCGTCATGACAACACGAGTAGTAACCAATCAAGATGCCGTATTTTATCACGTGAGTTCAGAGTGACATGCACGCGACATGTTGTCTGAGGTGATCGCGATGTTGAACAATTTCTTCTCGGAATTTGTCCAGAGAAATCAGCGATTCTAAATTAAGGTAGGATCTGCCATTTTTTCCTGTACACGTTATAACTTATCTCTATCGAATCCTAAAGTTTTGGAAGAAGATATGAAGCGTAGGTTTAAAAACGAAGCGATTAATTTGACGATCTGATTTTGCAATTTTCAATGGCCAATTTACTGCAAGTCTTCATTCCAGAACTCACATTTTGAGTTGATTCTCCGTCATAGTTCTTGTCTAAAGTCCACATATCTGCTCTCTTTCTGCCATACTTGCACACATTTCCCCTCCTTAAATTGAATTCATTCAAATTACACCCTCTCGCCGATTTATATAGCCATTTCCCAGAACCCGGGAATCAGAATCGCTGATGTTTGCCATATTGAACATATTATATGTACTGTAATATCTGTACATTGCCTGCTACGCGTAATGGTCACGTGACTAGCGCGATACAGGAAAAATGGGGAATTTCGAAACAACAATTTTTGGGCACTTTTATTGCAAATTTCAGGTATTTATAAAGTGTTTGTGGTATAAAATATAATCCACAGACATAAATGAACATCCAAACTGCATATTTCATTAAGTTTTGGAGCCTTTTTTGTTCTTAAATTAACATCTTTAAACATTTAAAAATTTAACTCTTTAAAGACTGGGTCAGGACCCACGTACGTGGGTACGAGGGTACGTGGGTAGGAGGTTTTTTATACAAAGCCATGAGAACATACCTCTAAGTCAAACATGTTCAGCATAGTGAGAGTGTTATCACAGAGGACTGTCATGTATTATCATGATGAGAACATACCTCTAAGTCAAACATGTTCAGCATAGTGAGAGTGTTATCACAGAGGATTGTCATGTATTATCATGGTGAGAACATACCTCTAAGTCAAACATGTTCAGCATAGTGAGAGTGTTATCACAGAGGACTGTCATGTATTATCATGATGAGAACATACCTCTAAGTCAAACATGTTCAGCATAGTGAGAGTGTTATCACAGAGGACTGTCATGTATTATCATGGTGAGAACATACCTCTAAGTCAAACATGTTCAGCATAGTGAGAGTGTTATCACAGAGGACTGTCATGTATTATCATGATGAGAACATACCTCTAAATCAAACATGTTCAGCATAGTGAGAGTGTTATCACAGAGGACTGTCATGTATTATCATGATGAGAACATACCTCTAAGTCAAACATGTTCAGCATAGTGAGAGTGTTATCACAGAGGACTGTCATGTATTATCATGATGAGATCATACCTCTAAGTCAAACATGTTCAGCATAGTGAGAGTGTTATCACAGAGGACTGTCATGTATTATCATGGTGAGAACATACCTCTAAGTCAAACATGTTCAGCATAGTGAGAGTGTTATCACAGAGGACTGTCATGTATTATCATGATGAGATCATACCTCTAAGTCAAACATGTTCAGCATAGTGAGAGTGTTATCACAGAGGACTGTCATGTATTATCATTATGAGAACATACCTCTAAGTCAAACATGTTCAGCATAGTGAGAGTGTTATCACAGAAGACTGTCATGTATTATCATGATGAGAACATACCTCTAAGTCAAACATGTTCAGCATAGTGAGAGTGTTATCACAGAGGACTGTCATGTATTATCATGATGAGAACATACCTCTAAGTCAAACATGTTCAGCATAGTGAGAGTGTTATCACAGAGGACTGTCATGTATTATCATGATGAGAACATACCTCTAAGTCAAACATGTTCAGCATAGTGAGAGTGTTATCACAGAGGACCATAATTCTGTTTAACGCAGACGCCACCTTCAACTGCACTACTGGCTTCTTCTACAAACAATAATATCAGGATATAACTGTATATATAGAGCTAGATCATGATCTTGATTCAAGGACATGTTACCCTCCGCCCTCAACCAACATACCTCATCTCCACAAGGTCTTCAAATCAAAGTGGCACTACACATAATTTCAGTGCTCTTAAGCAAAAAACAAAGTGATAATGTTAATAAGCATGCATTATGTGTTACCTTCTCTCAGCAATATAATTAAACACTCTAAAACAGGATTGAATATGTGTCATCATTGCCCTTGTATTATATATATATACCATCAATATTATTACTTGTACTTGTTTTTCATTATTATTACTTGTTCTGTGTTTATTTCATGTTATAAATTTTGTTTCATGTATTTTGTGATTGATTTGTTTTTTATGTTAAATGTGAAATCCATTTCATTATGGGAACAAAAGTGACACAATAATATACCCTCTGTAAAGAAAAAGAAGGTGCAAGGTCCTTTACCAATCTTTTTTATTTTTTGTTATTATCATACCAAACTTTCAGGGGTGTAATGTATGAATACTTTGACCCAATGGAGAAAGTTCCAAAGAATTTGGTAAATATGGTAAAAAGTTAGAATGGATTGAATATAACAACTCCCAAAATCGTGAGTGTGACTTTTTACCATAAATTGACGTCATAAATTTGAGAAATCCAAAACTGAGCAATCTGCTCAAGAAGAAGATCTTCGGAGACATTAAGTTAAATTGTTGGTTACATTTAGAGGAATACACCATGTTAAAAAGTCTTCAATCCAATAAAACTTTGTGAAAAATATCAGTTATAGAATAAAAGTCTGATTAATTACAACCATTTTGTGTTAGAATTTGAGGTAATATTCTTCAGATTCAGAGGTCTCTTCTCAGTTCAGAATTAGGGGTAGGGGTAACATTTATTACAATAAACTTAAAATCGTAAAATCACTATAACCCTTAATCTTTCTCAAGGACCCATAAATATGTTATACATCCTATACTTAGCTTATGCATACCAAAATTGAAGTCAGATGTGATATATAAATATGTTTATTGAGCAAAATGGTTACATCCTATCCTAATTTCACTGCTTTTTAAGGCGTAAAATTGTCTAAAAATCATGTTTTAGACGGGTTTTGGCAGTCTGGAATGGGCTTTACAATGGTATGTAGAATATTTCATATAGAGAATGATGTCCTAGGCTTATAGGAAAATGTATTACACTGTATAATAGCAAATTGTAATTTATGACGCAATTTCAAGAAAAAAGTCACATAATTGAGACAATGTGTTAAATCATTGCTAACTTTGTTAAATTTACGTCTAATTTTTAAATATTCTTTTAGTATATCTGGTAAGAGGGCAATGGGAACTCCAGGAAATTCTGATATTTCACACTTTCTATTTTTCCAAATTTCCTTTCAAAGTTTCCAGACAACACAGGAGCTACCATTGACCTGTTTCCAGGTTTACTAAAAGTAGACAATGTAATGATACTTTCCTGAAAAAGCAAGGAAATATACACATGCCTTCATACTTAATTTTGTACCAGAAAATAACACGTGCAGGTATAGCAATTTTTTAACAAAATGTTACCTTCCAGCTGAACCTTAAGTAGCTCATATACGGAAGGTTTTAGAAAAACGTTGTATCATTACACTACAATATCAAAATTCAAAATAGTCAATAACCATACCAATATTATAAGAATATATGCCCGAGTATTGTAAGTTACAATGAGAATCAATGATGTTTGGTCCAGTTCCATTTTGAGAATCTATTTTCTATCCTGATGATACGGATTGGAATCAATGTTTCTTTCCTAACTTACTTCCATATAATCATACAAGGATTGGAAACAGGAATTCAAAAAATAAAGTAATCTTTTTTATTTCCTGATTCTTGCCGTTAATTAGCTAATCTTGGTGACTTGAAATTCCACAGCTGTATTATCTAGAGTTTTATAGTATCCCATCACTCACCCCATCACTATAAGTGTATCTATATTAGCCTCATTTGACTGTTTCCTGTCAACTGGTAAGATTCAGTGTGATTTTTGGCGATGCATGACATGATCAGTATTATGTACATCAGTCTAAAGGATATCCAATCAAATAGCAGGATATGATCATGTGATCAATCACAAACACATGTTTTCAACAGCGAACACTGTGATGCCTGTTTATGAAGAGTTGGTCACGTGACCTTCTGCCAAAGCACTGACTGACTGTTTCCAATCCTGGTATATTCATTAGGAAGTTGAATTGCGCAAGAAATCGTGTCTCAAGTCCATGCATGATGAGTTTAAAATGCAGGACCTCAAAAATGTCTTCCTCTATTCTAATTTTCAAAATGATATATATCCATGGATCAGCAGTTTTTGGCACCAGAACCCATTCTAATAGAAATGTGAGACTACATGTATTTTGTTTAGACATTATTCCACACTCTAAAGTCTTGGAGAGTTACTTTAACTTACCAATCCGAGGTATTTATGGCCCTGCTTTACACTATCATATATTGTCTTCCCATTAGGGAGGTGCTGCTCATCCACAATATAATGGACCACAAAACTGGAATTGAAAAACATAAATGAATTTATGAATTACTATTGTCAATCCTAGAATTGCTGGTTATAGGACTGGCTTTCAAGAGATAAGGCACCGGGACCCTATTGAATTCCAGGACCATCCCTACACATTGGAATGGGAGCCTCACTTGGAGGGCATACACTTTAACTGATGTATTGTAAGTTGGCATAACTATAATCAAACTTTAACTTTTTTCAAGACTCATTTAAATTATTTGAAGCAAGTGCAAAACCATACCATCTAAAAATAACAAGTATTGAGCTTTGCTGTAATTATGTATCTGTAATCAGTATCATTATTTTATAGGGACTTTTTAAAGTAACACTTTATACTTACCAATCACTTGTGCCAATATACAGGTTTTTACCACAGCATTCAATGCATTCAATCTGTAAAATAATTTATGTGTTCATATTGACACAAACAGGGTGTAGCAAAAGTATGGGACCCCCCCCTCCCTAGGCTGACATATACCAATGCCTTCAGAGTTTGTCTCATTAACCAATTTAAGGCTTATCCAAAGTTACATTGATTTGCCAAGTTGAGGTTTAACTGTCAAATAGGAAAAAGTTACAGTCATTTCAAAATTTAGTGTTTGGCCAAAAATAAGTTCAGTTTTACACCAAATTAAGAGTCAGTGCAATCTTCCCTCCTCCTGTTAGCAGCAGCGATTCTTTTCATGTAGGATGGATACTGAGTTGGTAAAAGAGGACAGTGAGGGTAGATACGCCAAGGAAACTCTTCTAAAGTGCCTTAAAAAGGTTTAAATATAAGGACTACAAAATGTCACAACCCTACGTTTAAGGTCACATCCTAATTAGTGTTGTCGCGATGTGCCATAATCGTACATCAATGCATCCGAGAAAAGTGCACTGAAATACCAAACGCTAATGCACTAAAATACCGAACAGAACATATTTAAAGCGAAAGAATATCAGAAAACATTGGAAAATGAAATAAGACATGAGAAAGGTAAGCGATTTGCGTCAAAATAATATAGTTCATACACTACCAAGTAGCTGGACTGGACTAAACTATATCTTCGACTGTATACAGCAACCTCCATGTACAAAGTTATGCTGTCTAAATTTTCCATGAATCAACAACCCTAATCATGTGATTTAATGTTGATTTAAAACTGAGTTCGCAATGAAAATGCACGAAAATCTAGTCCATAGTCATTGATCTGATTCAGTGATTGATCGGAATCTCACCCTAGATCTAGCTATAACTATGTTTGATCATTTCAGCGTTCAGACTTCTCACCTCCGGGTATCCGATCGATGCTCCTGCATCCACTAAACTCTGATTCATATTTATCTGGTAAAATATTTGTATTTTCATAATGAATTGTGCAAGATTTGTTTGTGAAAAGTGCATTTGTTTTGACTGTGCATAATAATGAGCTAACACTGCAGGGCCGACGTTGATTGGGTCAAAGGAGTTGGGTAAACTAGCAACAGAGAGTGCCCCAATTGAAGTGTGAAAAAACTTTTTTTAAGAATAGGAGAAAAAAACATCAGAAATGCATAGATTGAAGTCTATATTTTTGGGTAGTATTTTAAAAAAAATTAGAAAAAATTGTTACAGTGTCTGGAGACCTTCAAAGAGGGTGGGGGCCAGAAGGAAAAAAATTCACATATTTTGCAACCCTCTTGATGAATTCCAATTTACTCAGCTATGAATGAATGTTTTTGATTTATCTGTCCAGGATTATGTAAATATATATTTATTTGATCCATACATACAATTGATTTAAACAATATGTACAGTTTAGAGGTAAGTAAAGCTTTGAAAGGACATTTCATGCTGAGTCTGGGTGACATTTTTATTCACTCGAGGTAGTAATCCTTTGAGTGTTTTCACATAGAGCATAACAAGTCTCCACTCTAATAAGTGCTTTTTTAGTTACATAAATGTTATATTGTTGCATACAAAGAATAATTTTGATGGAGACTTATTATGCTCGATGTGAATTTTAGAACTTTATAGAAAATTTTGCCTGCCATTTTTGTTGATTATTCAAAATGGCCAAATGCTATTCATGCTGCATATGTAGGAAGCAGGTAAATTCTCCTAGAAAACGGAGAAAGGTTACAGAAGATTTAGCTTCACAAGTCAAGAATGCCAAAGTTGGACAGATAATATGCAATAACTGTGGTCTAGATTCAAAACGAACCAATTAATTAATTAATTAATTAATGCAGCAGCGCCTGACCTCTTAAGAGCAAAAATTCAATCAAGGCATACAGGTAGCAAACAATACACATTGTATATTGAATATAATCCAGACTCAGTAGACCCAATAACTGGGTGGTACTGTGAATGTAAGTCTGGGGCAAGGGTGGTCGGATGTTGTGCACTTATAACCACTCTCATTTGGTATATAGGCTTCGCTAGGCACTAGGGTTACAAAGCCAAAGAAAAACCTCTGCAAGGGCATTATAAAATTTTAGATGCTAAAATACCTGAAACATCAAGTGGTTATATGTGCACAACATCTGAATCAGGTAGTTCAAGTGACGATGAGTAAAACTAATCAGAAAATGTTTCATTGTTATTTCATTAACAAGCCAATGATGAAATGTGTTGAGATTTTAGATGTTTTTCACCTTTTAGGTGATCTCCAAGAAGTGATTATCTCCGTTATCTGTGACTTACTGTTTCCCAGACAAGTTATCAGAATGATTGATAATAAACTTAATAGTTGCTTTAAAATTATGTTGAATAATATCATTATGTTGAATTATAATATATACAGTGTGTGTGTTTAGTGTGTGATTTTTAGCATACCCTATGTCGCTAACAGGAAGCAGGACATATTTCTCATAAAAAATAAACATTACTTTACGAGTCAAATCATGAAATGTACATTCTGAATTTAAATGAATTAAAAATAATAAAGTATTTTCATTATTTTAGGTACTTTTGTTCTCTTTCAGTGTTGCGTGGGAAGGGCGGAATATATTAATATAAATATCTCATTATTGGCAAATTGCCAATTTACTATATATTGTAATTCCAACCTCTATGAGACTAAATTCCTACAGATATTTGTGATATTTTAACCAAAAAGGTATATTTTGGTAGAAAATAATGAATTTTTTAATTTGACCTTGACCTGGGGAATATGACCTTGACCTAAATTTTCATACATTTCTGAAACACATATATCACATAGATTAATAAAATAAAGAGAAAACTTGAAAATCAGGTGGGGCTTAAAATGGCCTTGTTTACCCAACTCCTTTACTGACATAAATATCAGGTCGGTAAAGCACGTGGCTTTCTCAATGACACAAGGCGGTTATAATAGAAATCAAGATACTGTACGCCCGGTATTATTCGCGAGCTTTAATTTCGCGGATTTTGCAAAAAACATGGTTTCGCGGCTATTAAATTTCGCGAATTTCACAAGTTTGAAATTCATTATTCTCGATTTTACGTTGGCTGAATCGACAGTTCGGTCTTTTAAGAAGCTCTTGCACATTAAGATCAAGGGGGATCCCCTCCATAATATGTCCTCTCCTCTCACAGTGTCTCCTAGGGGGAGACCCCCTCTGTTAGGTAAGGGATCATTCAAGTTCATGATTTCTACAGTGTAGGACAGTCTAGCAGTACTAGTTGTCGATTCGGAGATTTTGAAGTGTATAGCAGCGCTTGCCATTCAGTCATCGATATCATTATTGGGCCTACTGGTGGTACTGGGCCGAATCAGCCAACGTAAAATGGACATTACTGAAGTCCTGAAGATCGTGGATATCCAATTATCGCCCAATAACACTAGACGAAACGTTTACACAAAACGAAATGCATCAGAGCCCCGTAGTGCCTTACGGTAATGCCGGGTTGTCGGCAGCGGCAGTAGATACTCTCAATTGCCGGTAATAAAATCCATTGCCGATAATCGCCATGCTGCTGCAACATGATGATTGGCATTGCGATCCATTGTCAAATTTACGAAACAATGTTCGTTTAAGAATATTTTATCAATCATGTATATTTCAATCTCCACATTTGAAGAGCTAATCTGTCAATCAACTGCAAAGGATTCGTAAAAGGCGGGAGGATAAGCAAAACCCCACCCACTTCTGTCAATCATCTCCCATGCCGCGAGATTAACAAATCACGTGACGTGATATTTCGGTGAAGTAAAAACAAAAACAAATAGTTTGATCAATTTTGATCGAATTCACTCTATATTATAATTCAAAGACTTCCTAACAATACACAATCACACACGAGATACACGATGATACAATATATCCACTGTAGTTGATGTGAGCGGGAAATCAAGCTGAGAAATCGGCTTCGTTAATGATTTTTCGAAATATTTTAGTTTCACTTTCAGGTTTTTCCCCGGGATTTTAGGAACATTATCAGTATCAACGATTATCGGTAACGGTAAGGTAATGGAGGTGAAATTTACCGGCAGTGAGATCCATTACCGTTGCAAGCACTAGAGCCCCGGGTAATAACAAATTCCCGGGGATTTCATTGGCAATTTCGCGACGATAATTTTTCGCGATTTTTAACACCATCACGAAAAGCGCGAAAGTTAATCGCACGTGAATAATACCGGGCGTACAGTAAGTAAAAGACCGACTTAGGCAGGCTATTGGCCAGTTTGAATAGCCGAATCTGTCATTGTGTAAAATAATTGCTGCTTTTAACATTGATAAGGGAGGACATACTGACTATGATTTTGGTGTAAAACTGAACTTAAATGGCCAAACACTAAATTTTAAAATGCCTGTAACGTTTTTTGTTTGAAAGTTAAACCATGATACTTGGCAAATCAATGTATCTTTGGATAAGCTTTAAAATGATATATGACACATACTATGGAGAAATTGGTATATGTTTGCATAGGGGGGTCCTATACTTTTGAGACATCCTGTATTTCACTATTATTATATCATATTTGAACATAGAATCAATGATTTGATTTTGTGTTGATACTGACAATACATTTCATTAAATCATATTTGAACACAGGAGCAATGATTTGATTTTGCGTTGATATTGACAATATACATTTCACGAACCAACAGATGGACTGACCAATGGACAGACGGACCAATGGATGGAAAGACGTCAATCCCATAGGCTCACTGTGTGAGTCAATAAGACGTGTTCTGTTCTTAATCATACTCAGGTTTGCTCCTAGCACTGAAATCAGTGATTTTGTGGTGTTACTCCTTAAAAAATTAGTACCGTGGGTACTAGGCTCACATGGTGTTGCTCAAAAGTGAAAATAAAAAAGATGGGTATAATTTTTTGCAGATTTTTTGTGACAAAATTATTTCATACAACTACTCTTTACAAAGACATGGCTTTTTACAATGCAGGACACCTGAACTTATTTGTAAAGCTAGGAAATGGGCCAAAAGTGAATTTCCCGAGACAAAAATGGTGGCCATTTTGAAATTAGGCGAGATTTTGAAGCGTCACAGGTTTTTTTTCTTTATTGATGTTGAACAAAATTATTTTAAATCGGGAATCCTATCTACAGAGGATTTAAAAAGTGTTAACAGAGGTTTAAAACTTGCCACTTTTTTGGACTGACTGATCGAGAGACAGATGGACGAATCAATGTTAACTAAAATGGCTGAAAATAAAAAAAAACTGATATAATATTTTGCCAATTTTTTGTAACAAAATTATTTCATACAACTACTCTTTACAGTGACATGGCTTTTTACAATGCAGGACAGTTGAAATTATTTGTAAAGCTATAGGAAATGGGCCAAAAGTGAATTTCGCGAGACAAGAATGGTGACCATTTTGAAAATAGGCGAGCTTTTGAACCAAGAGTCATAGGAGAGTTTTTTGTATTGATGTTGAACAAAATTAACTTAAAACAGGAATCCTATCGACAGAGGGTTTAAGGCAAATGGTCCAAAAGTGGATTTTGCGAGACAGATGGACAAATCAATGTTGGCTGAAAATAAAAAAAATGGATATAATTTTTTGCTGATTTTTCGTAACAAAATTATTTCATACATCTACTCTTTACATTGACATGGATTTTTACAATGTAGGACACTTGAAATTATTTGTAAAGCTAGGAAATAGGTCAAAAGTGAATTTCGCGAGATAAAAATGGCGGCCATTTTGAAAATAGGCGAGCTTTTGAGCCAGGAGTCATAGGGGAGTTTTCTGTATTGATGTTGAACAGAAATAACTTAAAACAGGAATCCTATCGACAGAGGTTTTAAAACGTGCCACTGTTGTTGACGGAAAAGTGGATTTCACAAGTCAGATGGACAAATCAATGTTAACTATAAAATGGCTGAAAATAAAAAATATATATAATTTTTCGCTGATTTTTTGTAACAAAATTATTTCATATATCTACTCTTTACATTGACACAGATTTTTACAATGTAGGACACCTGAAATTATTCGTAAAGCTAGGAAATGGGTCAAAAGTGAATTTCGCGAGACAAAAATGGCGGCCATTTTGGCACAAATGGCACATTGTCTCATTAAATAAACCGCAGTTGACGCACTGAATGAAACGCCACTGACAAGTACACTAAACAAGTCATATCTTATTCCACATTTAATATTCCCAGGAATACATTTTATACAGTTATCAATTTATTGGACAACTTCGTTACACATAAAAAATAAGATTGCAAACACAAATGGCCAATGCAAAGAAATGTTTCAATCATCGATTAGAACATGAACATTAACGTACAATGTTACATGAAATCGTTTAATGGTACAAGGCCTGTCAACTTGGGAACACCCTAACATGAGTGACTTACAAATGTTGAACACCTTCATTCAAAACATCGGACACCCTCAACAGGCGGGGGGGTTATTTTTGTTGGTTTTTGGAACATATTGAAATTTGATATGGGAACATGTTGATATTTGAGGGGGGGGGGTACTCCCATATGTTGGCTATATGGGCATGTGCCGCAAAATTGTGTCACTTTTTCGCCAAAAAATCCCTATATGTGGGTCCCATTTTGAAGAAAAAACCTAGATATGGGTCCCATTTTGAAGAAAAATCCCTGTCCCATTTTGATGAAAAAATCCCTAGAACTGGGTACTGTTTTTGAAAAAAATCGCCGAAAGTGGGTCTTGTTTTTTTTAAAAACTACCTTGAAGTGCGTCTATTTACCTTGTAATCTCTTCTTTAAGTATTACGGTAGTTTGAATGGTTGCATGATATCCATTATTGACGCTGTAATTCGAATTTTCCCGGGACATTTATTTCAAATTTTCAGAGCGTGAAGATTATTGATCAATATTTACCCTGTAATATCCGTGCCATCATCGGGAGTGGCGTCACATTCTCAGAAAAGGCATTTGACTTCGGGAATAAACATTTGAACAATGGAAATAGCCGAAGCACAAACAAACAAACACTCCATATAGACTATATACGCTCGCTTATTTAATGCTTTTTATCAACAGACGCTTTCTTGGATGTGTGGCTTTAGTGATTGGAGTTGAAGCCAACAACAGTAAGCATCGTTTGATGTATGACGTCACATGTGATAAACCGGCTCCAAAATCAAGGAAAAATAATTTTTCCGAAGATCTTGTGTCTTGTCCTTAGAGGTAATCTGGCTGCACAGAGGTCTGTGGATGTAGGTAGATATTTTGAGTCTCAGCGGCTACCCTCCCCCTGTACAAAAATTTGACCAGTATGATCCAGACCCGGGATCCAGAAGCCCCAAGAAAAAAAATTTGTTTCAAAAATAGGTCATAGATCTAAGAAAAATTACTTTCATGACCTCTTGATCCTTGGCCTACCTGAGTTTTTGCTCTGTCAGAAAGAAGCTTCGTCCTTTCAATCGTTGGCACCAATTCAAATGCTTTTATGCTCATATTGAAAGTAAGCTATTTTAGAACTTTTAGTCAATCATCCCACTTTCACTAGGTGGCGCTACTAAATTGACTTTGTAGGGAAATCCGCGCCATATTCGCCTTCTTCTCAGTTCAATTTTGCGCACGCAAAGTGGGAATATCCCCATACATATCATATCTTCCCGTTGGGAACATAATCCATTGCTGCGCATGCGTAAAAGATCGAACAAAAAAGCGAACCTGGCGCAGAAAATTCCTAACCTTAACTTAGCTGTTGTTTTCTCCTCCCTAACAATCAAATGTTACTCGATTATTTGAATTGATCAAGAGCTTAGAATTTATTGGAATTCTGAAGCTTTCCTTTTTTACGAATGTGATTTTTTGATTCGAATGCTAAAACTGATTCTGGGATTTCCTGGAGTTGCCTCCCCTCGCAGAGGGAGTGAATAGAATAGCCAACCTCGCCCTGATGATCCAAACACCATAAAAATACTGGTACTTGATAAGTAGTACTTCGAGATTTTTACCAACTAATAGACTAGTTTAAACACAGAATTAGTGGGAAAATAACGATACGAAAGAAGCACAAAAGAGATATTTATCTTACGTAAGTAGGCTATAGTCTATCTAGATCTAGTTATGTACCTAAGACAACTTGGAATCTAAAATTTTTAGATTTTGTTTAGTAAAAATAAGCAATCGAAGACCACATTGCAATATGAAGCAATAGAAACTTACTTCCTGCGAAAGCTATGTGGATTTTGATATAATAGCTTTCTCACGGCGCACTTGGACAGCTGAATAATAGTGACCTTATAAACTTGAATAATTCCGCGGCTTACTTTTGGTCTCTAACTGTGTCTTACATCAGTATCATCAATCCGTTCAAGTATTGGAGCGCTGAAATACTTCTTTTTCGATCAAGTCTTGTAAATTGTTCATAGAGTGAATGTTTTTTTGACCCATTTCCAATATGGCAGTTTGCTTGGAGCGAAATACACAACGAAGGAAATTAATTTTGAGAATGAGTTAGGTTCGGACAACATCCGGAGATTTACGAAAATGTCCGAGCAGAAAACACCATATTGATTTTGGCAGAAAAAACATTCACTCGAATAACAATTACAAGTCTTGATCGAAAAGGAAGTAGTTCCGCGCTCCAATACTTGCACAGGAGGATGATATATGATGTTTGACATAGTTAGAGAACAAAAGTAAGCCGCGGATCAACTTAATTTGTGTTTCAAAGGTCACTATTATTCAGCTGTCCATTTCTCCATCGGAGAGCCATAAGTTTCAAAATCTAACATGGCTCTCGAAGTGAGTAAATAGAAACATATGTACAAGACATAACTTTTGTATATTTCGGTTTGTTTGGTAGAGTCCATTTCACTGCTTCATTTCGTCAGTAGAACGGCAAAAATAAGAAATTGGGAGACCATTGTGCAATAATATATGGAAAAGTATATTCATAATGTACATGAATGACATTTGTATATTTCAGATTTTTTATTTTTTTGTGCAATAAGCCTGTGCCGTCTTGTAATTTGAAGAATTTCAGCCATGTTAATCTTATTGAAAATAACATGGCAGAGAAACATCCAAATATAAGAGGCCACACACTTTATAAGCCAAACTAGAAGCAATCCAAGATATACAAATGTCATTCATGTACATTATGAATATACTTTTCCATATATTATTGCACAATGGTCTCCCAATATCTTATTTTTGCCGTTCTACTGACGAAATGAAGCAGTGAAATGGACTCTAGTTTGGCTATCAGGTCTATCATGTGGCCTTTATATTTTGATGCTTCTCTGCTTACCTTCTTCTAAGGCCATTATCGTGAAGGCCACTATATATCGTATAGTAGCCTTCATCCAAAGATAAATCCCTGCATGGTTTTACTCTGCCAGATCTGAGTCATGTCGACATACAGGTCATGTCGTAATCATAAAATTTGAAATCAAATGTTCGCCATTTTTCCATATCACAATATGAATTGCGAGTTTTGGTCTTATTACCTCACCAAAAATTCCAAAAAACACATGAAGTGATCAATGTATTAGTTCACATCTTCTGGATCGCTAACTTAGAATTTACAGCCAGTTACTAATGTCAGATGTTAACGACATTTTGTCCAGTTTCGAATATCGCCATTTTTTTGGAGCCATTTGTTTTATTTATAGACGAAATCCTGACGAAACCATGCAATATCTCATCAAGGAGCCCAGCCAGTTCCATTTCAATTCATGAAATATTAACATGACGGTTTTTAGAATATTCCTTAAAGTTATTGAACCCCGACTAGAATTTTACAATAGTCCACGTGTTCCAGATGGAATTACTTCTAGCCAAGAATTCGCTAGAGACTCTAGTGTTGTCGCGATTAATCGATAATTTGTTCTGTTCGCTACTTTAGTGCATTAGCGTTCGGTATTTCAGTGCACTTTTCTCGGACTTTTTCTCGATGTACATCGCGATGTGCATCAATGTTTACTACTGAAAATTGTTGATGCATCGATGTATGATTATGGCACATCACAACAACACTAAGAGACTCTAGTAATTCTCTGTCATGTTATCTGTCCCCTTACCCTTTTTATTCGTTCGACTTCACTTCTTAAAAGAGAGCTTCATCTTCACTCTTTAAATTTACAATAAATATCTGATCTCACCGAGCCAATCAGAGTTCGTCCTCAAAATACGGACGACTTTCTATATATGGTCATGTCCTCTGACATCACCGCATGGTTAATGAGCACGTATTTCGTGTTCCTTCCACTTCGCTGATTGGTTGAGAAAGGGTCAGCGTGGTAGATTTGAAATAATTTATTACCTGGGCTGTCACAGGCAATAATCTTTTGGGTTGGGTGGGCTAACACAGTGGGCGAGTTGCTGTTCTGACGCGACAAGTTGGTTCATGCTTTTCATTCCTGAGCTCGCCGATAGATTTCTCGCGCTATAAATACATATTTTTAATTTTTTCGTTTCATCATTTCTGATCTGCATTGTAGAGATTACTTCCGCATTTTGTGAATATTTGGTACTAGTAAGTCATAAAGGTTCATTAAATTCAATAAAAACATATTATCTAGACTTGTCTAAAGCTAAACTTTTATTTTATATTCTAAAAATTTGACACTTCCAGATTTTTAAATCTCCCGTCTGAAGAGTAATCTACTTATGTCACGGGCAGATAATACAATTTAATTACCAAAAGTCTGTTCAAAAACAAAATACTCGTACGTTAAATGAATCAGATTTTACTACAACACTTATCTGAAAACAAATATTGGCTGAATCGAGGTGTTGTGAATTACCGGGATTAACCTTTACCATGCTGCCTTATTTCAGCAAATATATCCCACGCAACTGGCTTATTTTTCAAAGAGTGCAAAAAATGATATGCCTGGTCTAAATAATTAATATCTCAATAACTACTGAATGAATCTGGATAAAATTTTCACAAAGGGAAGATACAGTGGCCTGGCTCATGAAAAAAATGTTCTCATGAATTTTTTCGTACATTAACACGACTGGGCATAAATATACCATGAATACTCCTCCGGAATCCGCCGCTCCGCCTCTTCGTCTGGTCAGAATCCAAATCTGAATTTGCAGCGATCGAATGTTCAATTTTTCAATTCAGAAAATATTCTAGTTTATATTTTCGATGACCGTTATCGGCTTCCAAGAGCCTAAAGAGCTCGAAATCGTAATCTATTTCCTCCACATTTTCGTTGTGATCGTATTTGTCCACCATTTTGTACGATTCGTTCACTAAAAACGACTAAAACACTGTTTAAATTGTTGAATTGAGAATTATTTTTCGAAATATCGCCATTTCTAGGTCAACAGGAAGTCATGTTAGGCACTGAATAAATCGGGCAATCTAATTGGACAATACGAATGGCGCGAAAAAGTAAAGTTTTTAAAAGTTTGAAATCGGGCGTACGGGTCCGCCGGCAGTTGTGAGAGACATTTTAGTCTCGGCGGACGAGTCCGCCGGCAGCACGCTAAAGGTTAACGTCATACAGTGTTTTCGTCCAGTGTATATTGAAATAGTGCACCTAGCGGATGGCGCATAGTTTAAAATTCTCGCCCGCTGTGTAAACTGTAATATAGTATAAACTAGGCAGAGGGTAGTTTATAACTAGACTCTGTGCGCAGTACTGTCTCTCAGTTTTATGAAAAAAAAATCTTAAGGAATTCTGGGCAATATAATGACGAAATATTGTTTATTGGTGAAGATCAGACGATTTTAACATATTCTTTACCTTACCTATTTTGTAATTTAACAATTGACCCAAATAAGGGCACACTGTACTTCACAGCCAATAAACTCATGATGCCCAGAAAAATTCAAATTTAGAATCCAAAAATGATTAAATTCTGCTCAAGATATTTGAAATAAGCTGTCCACGAAAAACAGTGTAAGAGTATATAGAATTTATTCATATTTTAGAATCAAAGCCTTTGTATATTTTGGATTACTTATAGGTTGGTCAGCAAACATGTGGCCTCTTATATTTTCATGCTTCCCCAACATGTTATTTTCAAAAGAATTATGGCTGAGACTTCTAAATCACAAGTTAACTTTACACAAGACTGTCTTTTGATTTCTTATTTTCTAGTCTTGATTGACTCATGAAACCAGGAGGTAGCAATATTAAGCAACAAAATAAGACATTCCCACCCAATCCTACTCGTATCTTAAAAATGTTGTCATAATATTTGTATAAAGACAGCCTTCCATATACTGATTAATCAGAATTAAATGTCATAACCATTGTTCAGTAGATAAGTCAATCTCAAATGACATATTTCAAAGGACTGAGTAATAAAAAGTCTATTGTTCATCAATCTATTTTGTAATGTTTTTGTATAAAAGTTACATACATCATCTTTGATCAGTTGTGTTTAATATCAGTATTTTAAAAGAGGCCAAAGTGGCTGCTAAGTCTCTACATGACTGTATTATGATATGACATGAGTTTAAACCACTAGACCTTGTGGACTTTGCCCTAAATTGGTTCCCTCCTTACTTATTTTAAATATATTTACCTATGACACCAACGATTTTTAAGGAATAAACCTAGGATACCCCAAGTCATGGCCTAATTAAAGAATGTAATATTTAAATTTTAATTTGATATTATTTAAATAATAATTTAGTGTCATTTAAATTCATGCAAGAACATCTCAAGTATCTGACCCAGATGTATAAATCACCATATACAATTAATTGATAAGCTTTGGTCCATCAGTTTGCTGATTATAACCATATCAAAATTAAAACCATATCAAGATTTCTCTGACATATAATGTCCAGTGAAGACCATCTCTCTATATCTATGTGTCTCTGACAAACACTATGTGCTAAACTGAAGCATGTACGATATTGTTCTGTTCAAAAACGATGTTATCTTGTAATTTATTACTGAAATCAAATGAAGTCAAAAGTATACATATATTTTTAGAATGGAGGGCTAAATAGCTTCCAAATCTCGGTGAAGTCTCGTTTTAAATGTGATTTCAGAAGATCTGCATTTTTAAACATTAAAACTAAGACCAGGGGGCTGCGATGGGTGCGATCACACGCGATAGAAGAAAAGAGCTTTAAAATGCTTTTTATTTTAAGCTTCTAGCTCAATTTTGAAGAAAGTTGCATCAGTTTTTGTAAAATTCAAAATTAATCTTATTTTTTGGCTTGTTTATGCCACAATCACCCCCCCCCCCCCCCTCTGACGGAAAACCAAAAATCTTACATTACCTTACATGAAATCACGTAAGGCACTGAGTAAATCATGCAATCTAATTGGATCATAAGAATGGCGCGAAAAAGTAAAGTTTTTAAAAGTTTAAACTCGGGTGGATGGGTCCGCCAGCAGTCACTCGGGATAGTAAAGCATGGCCGGATACACTCGCCTGGAGCATGCTCTAGGTTAAGGAGTAATTTGCAATTTTGTGTCTCCAAAAATTGTGTAAACGCAGAAGAAATGAATTCCCTTTGAGACACTTCTGCCATTACCTACAATACTAAAGCAGTCTGTTTCCATTCTGACTTCTTCACAAAAATCACAATTTTTATTTTATTTTCAAAGTTAATAATACTCACTGGTACATGGTCAGTATAAAGCGAAGGTTATGACTCTCATCTTCGCATTCAAGATGGCGGATGTGAACTGTCAATTTCGATATTTTTAGTTCATTGAATAAAACTACTTAAAAGCGAACTCAATCCTACTTATATGACATGTTAACTCTGAAGTATGATAATTTGATCATATATCGTGCATGGGCGCCACAGTTCAATGATATGTTTTACTACTTAAGGGAAGGTAATTGGAAATGTATGATACGGTAAAGGTCATGAAACCAAAATCCCACTAACCTTACCTTAATCGTAGGAAGACATCGTTGAATTGTGGCGCCTACGTACAATATATGAACATTTGATCATACTCCACAGTTTCCATGTCATATAAGCCTGGTTTAGTTCAAATATCAAAGCATTACGTCAATCATAAAGTAGTTTAATTTGATGGAAACTAAAAATATAATAACTTCAATGTGATGCAATTCTTGAATGCGAAGGTGATGGCCATAACTTTCGCTTGATACTGACCAGTGATACTACAAATCATTGGTAGATATCTAAAAAACTGCCAAATGACTCTATGTCATTTCTCTAGGCCTTTTTATTGAAACCAGTGAGCTTAACTGTGCCTTGTTTGTCATTGCAGGCTGACTACCCAGCATGCCTGGCGTGATGAACGGCTATGGAAACCGTTACCCTGACGACCAGTATGATGATGGTTATCGGAGAGGCCAACGTCCTCCAGGTCCTGGACCTGGTTATGTGTAAGTTTTTATCATATCTGCCGAAAGTAACTTTTTATGGTATTCTTATCCCACCAAGCCATTTTTCTTGAAACTTGTAACTCAAATGAGTTGACGGATTTGGTTCAATATTTTGAATGCGGATGCACAAGAAGGAATTCTTTAACCTTCTGCACTCTGACTTATTTCAGCAAATATATCCCACGCATCTGACTTATTTTTTCACAAATGATATGCCTGGACTAAATAATTAATATCTCAATAACTACTGAATGAATCTGGATAAAATTTTCACAAAGGGAAGATACACTGGCGTGGCTCATGAGAAAAATGTTCTCATGAATTTTTTTCGTACATAAACACGACTGGGCATAAATATACCATGAATACTCCTCCAGAATCCGCCGTTTCGCCCCTCGGGAGATTCAACGTCTGGTCAGAATCCAAAACTGAATTTGCAGCGATCGAATGTTCTTCTTTTCAGTTCAGAAAATATTCTAGTTTCTATTTTCGATGACCATTATCGGCTTCCAAGAGCCTAAAGAGCTCGAAATCGCAATCCATTTCCTCCACATTTTCGTTGTGATCGTATTTAGCCGTCATTTTGTACGATTTGTTCACTAAAAACGACTTAAACACTGTTTAAATTGTTGAATTGAGAAATATTTTTCGAAACATCGCAATTTCTAGGTCAACAGGAAGTTACCTACTAAGGACTGAATAAATCGGGCAATCTAATTGGATCATAAGAACGGCGGGAAAAAGTAAAGTTTTCAAAAGTTAGATTTGTGTTGTCCGGATCCGCCGGTGGATTCTGGCATAATTTTGAATGGGCGGACGCGGTCGCCAGTGGTCTGCTAAAGGTTAAGAGAGTTCAAAGTTGCTATCATTTTTAATGAGATAAAAGAGATTTTTAATAACTTCATACCAGTGATAGGATTTTGACCAAATAGTTTCTAAGGCTAAAGCCATATGGGTAAAGGACCTCTGTTGAAGAAGGAATTTTACCTTATTTGGTAAAAAAATGCAATTGTTTGGTGGGATTTGCTACTCGAGGCAGTTGCTGTTTTTCAGGTTTACATTTCTCAAAATGCATGGGGTAAAAATGTTGAAAATAGTAATTGGATTTATTTTATTGTGATTAGATGCAGCATGCACTAGTCAAGATGTTACCGCTTTTGAAGTATTTTAATAGTTGCATTTTTATAAGGGTGTCCCAAAAGTCGCAAGACTTCTGTTGCCCTTTCATTAATAATACTCTTCTGATCATATTTTCACATAATGTTGCCAAATAATCAGTTTTACTCCATGTTGCTATTCATACACTTCAATAATCTGAGAAATAAGTTATTTTTTATCAAAATTATTATATTGACGCTAGGGCCATGATCTAAACACATGAGATAACATGTCACAAAGGGTAGTTTTGACATCTCAGGGAAGCGTCACTTTTGTTCAAAATTAGTTGACCCTACAGATTTCCTTTAATTTGTAAATTGCTGGAATTTATATACCAGTAACATAGAATAACATAATTAAACTTATTAAACTTTGCATTTCTGGTCTCAATCCAGGAAAGTACATCAACCTTTAGCATGCTGCCAAATGCCTTGGTCACATTTGCTCCGATTTTCACTACGGCGCCTGGCCGATTGAGTATTTTGTTCAAAATTGAATACAATATTGAACAAAACACTCAATCGGCCGGGCACCGGCCGATGGATCGGAGCATATGTGACCAAGGCATTACAGCATGCTACTTTTGGGACACCCTGTATATATACATGTATAAGTAACTTATCCTCTGACCCTTGCATGCTATATATTTCTTCTAGATTTATTCATGAGTTTCTTGTGTAGTTATTGACAGTTTAATGCCTGGAGTTTGAAACTCAGACACATAGAAATGAATGATTGATTTTAAAGCCCTTTGCAATGAAGAGCAATTACTGTAAACAAGATGTACAGTTTAACATGTTATCAAATGTTACTAATATCACAAATGTTCTCCATATTATGACCTCTTGTTTTATACAATTGTCTGCTTATGTGTTCTTGTTTTAATATACTTGTGTTTCAATAACATGTGCCACTTTCAAAGGGAGAAGTAAAGTTATTTCAGTCTATTTCAAAATGAGTCCTTTCATGCTAACCTAAGGTTGCTTTACTATTACAATTTGGATTTAGCCTAAGAAACATACAAAATCGTTTTTACAATGGTAAGGTTCGTTTTTACATGTTAGCGTTTAATTCTAATGTATACGTTTTGTAATTTACTCTAATCTTCAACCTAAGTCTCAATAAGTAGATTCTAAATATACTATAGTACAGCTGCATATGTAGTATACATTGTATAAATAAAATGAACCATCTGCAGGGGTTTAGCCAGAATCAAAATTTCAGTGAGGCATGCTTTCTGGCCAAATGTTAAACACAAAAATAAACAATTCAACATTCGGAGGTCCCCCACTTTTTTGAAATATGAATATAACAAAAACTCAATCTTTTAAAGATGTCACACTTAATATGCATGATGGCATAGTATGCATCATTTGGTCTGAATACAAGATCATGTTCTCTATATGTGCCTTCACCATGTAGATATGATTGAAAATGGTTGATTTGAGAGCAGAAGCAGAGATAAAGAGATGTGACAAAATTGAATAAAAAGTATAACTGGTCTGCTAATATATTCTTTATCATCTCTAATATACCATAGTCACTGTATTTAGCTCCCACTCCATTATAAGCGCCTACCTACTTCATAAAATGAGCCTAAAATTTTTTTTTAAATTAAACAAGTTTTTGGAAATCTATTTTAGGATATTTTGTAAATGAAATGTTAATTCTCTATGAACATGCAGCAAAGATAAACTTGTTTCTCTTATTGTGGATATTGTCTTGATTTCCAATCTATGTCATGACGAAAACTATAATTTGTATGTGATGCCACCATGTCACTCTGTTTTAGCCGCATTTGTCTCATTTCCTCACAAATATGAACATATTACCAAGGTTTCTCGCATACTTTCAAAGTAACAACCTATTTTTTGTTAGATACAGTGCTCATTAGTTATTTTGCTTCTCCTAGGACTTTAAGGTTTGTAAATGGGACATTCCCTGTGTGAGTGCTCAGAACAAGCATCACCTTAAATAGGAACTTCTAAATATTAAAAGTCTGGTATATGTATATTGAAATATATCAAAAATAAGTATAGCATTTTTAGTCTTGCATAAGTTTGCCAAGAAAGCTGTCAAATGTTTGGGTTTAATTCAATTCTGAAAATTTTAGAAAATCAGAAACGTACACAAAATGTAAGTTTCTGTTTGCTTTATGCAGTGTTAACATATATACTAGCATGATACGTGTGATTACCATTATTATATTTAAATATCATACCACGATATATGGTTTAGAATTGTTTATTTTGCCAAGTAATATAATGCACCAAAAGTATGAAAGAATTAAAGTTCACATTTCTCACTCAGAATCAGCTATTGCGTTGTTTGATTAAAGATGTCAGTCCCATTTCCAAATTCATCCTAGTTTTGGTGAAATAGGCAATTTTGATGTAAAGAAGTGATTTTGGTTAATATATCAAATAATGTTTATAGTTTGCTTTTGGTGAATTATCATCTGGAAATGTCTACTTGATTTTTGACAAAAAGTAAGAGGTTTTGTGATTGAAAATTGTATTCGCTTGTGAAACATATTCAGTTAGTGTAAACTTATTCAATATAGCTATCATTTTAATGTCTTGAATTTTCTTGAGAAATTTTGATATCAGAAAGTCACATCTTTGTTCAAATATCAAAAATATACACAAATAACTACCAAATGATGCATTTGCGTTGCTATTAGGCGAAAAGAATATATTAAAAGAATTCATAGCTTCAAGAATGGTAGCTTTTGACATTTACCATTTCTCTTTGACATTAAGAATATGTTTAAAGAAATCATATCCTCATGATAAACAGCTTTTGAGTTTTTGTTCTAGTATTGACCTAAAGTGATAATTTTAATGCCACATTAAGTCATATTTTGCAATAAATTCACAGTCTGAGCAACATAGGCTGTGGGTCCTTTATTTTTAGATCAAACGCATGAATATGGCACTCTGTTCTTCTCATTCATGTTCAAACCATGTAGAATGTCATTCTGCTTATAGATGATGCTTTAACAATTAAATATAATTTATGTCTCATAAGTGTCAATATGGTCCATTTTAATTTTGATAGCATAGATTTAATTGTGAAACCTAGAGGGAATACATACCTTTTAATTATTATAAAGTACAGGTAACCAGGAAATATTACAAAATAGGTGATCATTGATACTGACTGAATTTTTGTATTGTTATCACAATTGCTTTGTGTTTCTACTTGCTCTAGTAGGTCCATCAGAGAAAGAAAGTCAAACATGCCAGAATAAATGAATTGTTTCTGATGAAAAAATAGTTTTACAGTTGGTAAATTACAAAAATAATTGTTACCTTTTGAATTAAACACTATAGAGCAGGTATAACACAGGGAATCAAATTTTAAAACATATACGAATACCACTGCTATCTATGTATAAATCATCTCTTTAACATATGTATCACAATTTTAGACCAACAACTCTCCTTAAAATGTGCATATCATAATTTTAGACCAGCGACTCTCCTTAACATGTGTATCACAATTTTAGACCAGCAACTCTCCTAACATGTGTATCACAATTTTAGACCAGCAACTCAAGACAGTAATTGGTCATTTAAACGTGATGACAGAGGTAATGGAGATTCAAGCACAAATGGTAAACTTCCAAGATCTTTTATGGAGATGCCTAAAGACCCCAGAGAAAAACCAACATCTAATAAAGAAAAACCAGAAAGGCATGATAATCAGTTATCAGCAAGAGGGGCTTCATATGCAGGTGACAGGGCTCCAAAACCTAGGCAATTCAATGATCCAGGATATGTTCCAAGTAGTCTTGCGAGTATAAGTCGGGATATGCCACTAGAATATGATCCCCAAAGCTTAAGTGATGAGTCTCGTGGTAGGTTATCTGAAAGCAGGATAAAAGATAATGTAAGATCAAATATTCACCAAGATCAAAAAGATCAACTGGGATTAAGAGATTTCCATGATCCAAGAGATGGTGTAAGATCAAATGTTCACCAAGATGAAGGAGATCATCCAGGAGCAAGAGATGGCAATGATCCAAGAGACAATGTTAGATCAAATATTCACCAAGATCACAGAGATCATGTGAGAACAAGCGATGGTCATGATTCAAAATCGAATATTCCGGAAGATCAAAGAGATCGCACGGGAGCAAGGGATGGCCATGATCATAGAGATGGTGTAAGATCCAATATCCCGGAAGATCAAAGGGATCATTTGGGAGCAAGGGATGGCCATGATTATAGAGATGGTGTAAGATCCAATATTCGGGAAGATCAAAGGGATCGTATGGGAGCAAGGGATGGCCATGATCATAGAGATGGTGTAAGATCCAATATTCCAGAAGATCAAAGAGATCGCATGGGAGCAAGGGATGGCCATGATCATAGAGATGGTGTAAGATCCAATATTCCAGAAGATCAAAGAGATCGCATGGGAGCAAGGGATGGCCATGATCATAGAGATGGTGTAAGATCCAGTATACCGAAAGATCAAAGAGATGGTGTGGGAGCAAGGGATGGCCATGATCATAGAGATGGTGTAAGATCCAATATACCAAAAGATCAAAGAGATGGTGTGGGAGCAAGGGATGGCCATGATCATAGAGATGGTGTAAGATCCAATATACCAAAAGATCAAATAGATGGTGTGGGAGCAAGGGATGGCCATGATTCAAGAGATGGTGTAAGATCCAATATTGCGGAAGATCAAAGAGATAGGGATGGCTATGATCATAGAGATGATAGCTTGCATAATTCCAGTTGGAATAGCAAAATACGTAAGCCAGTGATGCAAGAAAAGTTTGATGATCCAACTTGCATAAAAGGGAGTAATGCCCAACAATACACTAGTGGCCTTCTTGATAAAGCTGGTACAAAGGCTAGTAGTGAACCTAGTTCTAGCTTAGATGGCGGATCAGGAAAGATGTTAGTTTCAGACTCGCATGTTGGGTTGTTCAGGAAAAACCATGCATCACCAAATGAAAGGTAAAGAGAATAATTCTTCAAGATGCACACAATGGCTTAAACACAAATACCCGCCTATGTTCTCACATCAGTTCCTAGTTGAACCCTATGCTTTTATACCACTGAACAGATTCAACGTTTACAAGAGTCAGTCATTATATTCTTTTTTATAGGGCATTTCTGAGAATTATAGATTTTGAGGAGGTGAGGCTTGCTTGTGTTTAAAAGTGCTTAAAGCTTTGAGCCCATTGAAGCTCACGGATCATGCCTGCAATCATGCATCTGAAAAGAAATTAAGAAATAAGTCAAAGTTACTTTACACAAATATATGCTTAACAAAGCATAAAACATCAATATTTTTGAAATTATAATTCATTGGTGAATTAGGTGCAAATAATTTTTTCTTTTCATAGTGACCTATTCAATATTTTAGACATATGTAGTTTCACTTTTAAAGCTGTTTTACCTAGTTTGTATAACCTCCCAAACCTACCTACCAAATATTATTAACATGATTGGTCAATTATTCTCATAGTTACATATATTTACATGCACAGAACATTTTTAATGACCTTAATATATTAATATATGAATTGATTTATCCTAACAGGTTTTTATTGCACTTAAAAGATATGATACTGTAGATTTAAATTCAATTGTTGCCGTTTGATTTTTAGGTATGTCCTATTGTAGTAGTTGTCTTGTATTTCCTTGTATTTACTTTTGGTACATCATGTTATTTGAGAGGGCAATAGTATCTGATAAAATTGTAAATAATATTTAACAAATCTGTTGTACATTCTTTGTCATTTATAAGCACCAAACCCTATTCACAAGGCCAAAAGGTTAAAGTCTAAAGTTAATATTAATCATAACATGAATTAGAAGCCATAAGACATTTACAACTTGAAATAGTTTAATATTTGAAATGGCTTTTAGGATTAACAGGTAAGGAAGGATTGAACACTATACAGAGATATCCTAACATATAGTTAGAAAGTTTGGTCATGTCCCTCTCAATAGAGGATATTTTGAACAATAAAACAATAAACAATAAAATAGACTTCACTATGAGGTCAATCAGAAAATAAGACAACAAAAATATGTATGTATGAAAGGCTGGCAACCAACCAAATCCTATTTATAAACATTGTAACATTGAAACATTGCATTTGTACACTCATTTTGATCTGAAAGAAGTACATACAACAGCAAAATCATATTCACAGGTTTCAATATTATAAGATTCTGAGGGTTTGTCATCAATTTAATTAAGTTTCAAAGAAGGAAGTATAAATTCTTGAGACAGATACTCCCATCGAAAAAGTTTGGAAACTATTTCCTCTACATGTTCAGTGGTGCTTGTTTTTGAAGTTTTAAGAAGAAAGAAATGAAAAATAGATTGGCCTTGTAATATAAAACATGATGACCTGATTTCCATTTACTGAGAATTCCTATGACCTATATAAACTTAAGTTTTGCATTATGTGAGTAAAAATAGCTGAAAATGAAGTCAATCTATATGATCATTACAAAAAGCCCAATCTATATGATCTTTCCCAAAAGCCCAATTTTCACTGTTTTGTTTTAATTTAAAAAAATTAAACATGAGTTTCATTTTACCTTTTTGTAGTTTAATGAGAACTTCAAACTTTTGGAGGGGAATGTAATATGTAGCGTTTCTGTTATCTTAACAGCTAACATGCAATCATAGAGCTAGGTCACATGTTTTTAAAATGGATCCTTGACACAAGCAAAACATTTTATTCTCTTTGGTACCAACCTCATACCTTAATTGCCTAATACTATAGAATTCATCTGTTCATTTCATACCAACATGGAATATAAAAACATAAATTTCTGTGAATCATCTGTAAAATTGTTCATTAAACTGGATTTGAATTTACAGCATTCATGGTATTGACATTTAAGTTTATGGGTCTCCATACAAAATAGTTTTTCAGGGGTTATGGTTTAAGCAAATGCTGTAAATACTGCAGACCAATACTCTTTAAAATCTTGTAATTCCCAATTTCCATATGTTTGATTAGATACTGTTAATTGATAATCTGTTTAATTTTGGAGAGTTTAACTAATAAGAAATATACTTGAAATATTTGTAGAATCTAATAGTACACAGTGACAATCCATTTAACCAAATAGACTCTATTAGTCTGTGCCCTACTTATCCATCAATACCCTATGTACTTTGGAATGGATTTCAGAACTTGCATTCTGAATTCTTAACTAATTAACCGATTCTAATTTTTATGCAAAAAAATGTATGACATTTTTAAGATTTGTTAGAAAATGAATTAATTTGAGTTTTATGAAGTATTCACAACAGACCTCCAGCAAGCCTTGCTAGTTTTTCTGAGGCATGATCAGTGTTAAACACATTTTCTCCCATACCCTCCCTGACTGCAATAAACATATTATGTACTATAGCTTACAGCCATACATACGTGTACATGCACTTGGTATATTATAAACATGTTCTGCACTAAAATGTTACCTGCATGGCCTAAACTTATTATTTTCCCATCATGTAATATATTATATATTGTGAATACTATATCTCGTTATTATTATCATCGAGAATATTAGCTTAAATCAATTTTATATTATTCCTTGTTTCTTATTATTGCTAGCGTATATTTCACCTTATGTGTTACTGTTATTGTAACATTGAGTACAGTTTTTATATTGTACACAATTGTGAAGTTGCAATTACAGATTTCATGTTGAACATATATCTTAACTGGTCTTTATTGACTCTTTCTAATACCATATTATCAGATGTCACCACCAAAATTAGTGACATATTGTTATAGTATCTTTTTAGTGTATATTGTCACAATAAGTGACATAAAAATAGTGACATATTGTTGTAATATCTTTTTTGTGGGAGCAGTCAGCGGTTGGTATTCTCATTTTGGCGGTTTGTGTTCAGCATTTGGGGTCTGTAACAAATGGCAGATGGTGACATTTTGCATCTTAATGCCTTGTATAAATATATTTTCTCTACTTTCTAGCATTTCAAACATGATGTGAGACGAGCCTTGAGTATAATATAAGGCCAGAAAAGGTGTCATTAAAGAGTCAGTTCAGATAATATAAGATGCTATTACCTAATTTCACATGGTGATGTTACCTTTTGTTCTAGGGACCCTTATTCAGATGCATATAGAGAGGATACTAGAGACCCCTTATACAGTAAACCACACAGAGAGCCATCTTCTCACAGATATGATCAAGACAGACCACCTGTAAACAATAACGGTAACCAAATCTTTCCACTGATCTCATGCACAACATTGAAGCTACTTCAGGGTGCATCAATTTGTGTATTATTTCACTAATATACTGTATTACATTTACATACAATTTTGAATGTGGAAAATCTTGAAAAATCTGTATTTTGTTTTGGACATTTCTTCAGTTTTTCTTTTGTGAAAAAGTCTGCTTTAAAATCTCTTTTCGTGTTATCAGATTGCAAGACATTGTATTGTACATGTACAGGGTGTCCCGAAAGTATGGGGCCCCCCCTAGGCAGACATATACCAGTGTTGTCATAGTATGTGTCATATATCATTTTAATGCTTATCCAAAGTTACATTGATTTGCCAAGTATCATGGTTCAACTCTCAAATGTGAAAAAATTACAGGCATTTCAAAATTTAGTGTTTGGTCAAAATTAAGTTCAATTTTACACCAAATCAATAGTCAAAGTGTCCTCCCGGGCAATCTAAACAGCAGCAATTCTTTTCGGGTCGGATAGATATTGAGTTGGAAAAAGAGAACGGTGAGGGTAGAAACTCTAAGGAAACTCTTCTAAAGTGCCTTAACAGGTTTTAAGAGGGTTATAAAATTCCACACCCCTATTTAAAGGGCTTTTAAGGTCATATCTGAAAATAATTACTGCTGTTAACATGGCCAAGGGGGGACTCATTGACTTGTAATGTTGTGTGAAATTGAACTTTATTTTGACAAAACACTAACTTTTAAAATGACTGTAACTTTTTCCCATATGGGAGTTAAACCATGATACTTGGCAAATCAATGTAACTTTGGATAAGCTTTAAAATGATATATGACATATACTATGAGGACACTGGAATACCTCTGCCTAGGGGGGGCCCCATACTTTCGGGACACCCTGTACTCTTTATCTCACCCTTGGGTGCTATATTGTGATTTGTTTGTGAGCAATTTGATTGGGTGACCCAAAATTTTGCCTTTAGACTACTATGCTTTCAGTCCAACTTTCTGCTTGGGTTAATTATCCCATCGAACGAAGTACAGAGGGATATAGGGAACGTCTCCGTCCGTCCCTCTGTCCATCCGTCCGGACAATAACTCAAATACTGTTGGCCCGATTTTGTTCATATTTTGTACACATATACCCTATGGGGTAGAAATTCTGATTTTTAAAATGGCCGCTCATTTAAAAATGGCAGCCTTGAGTGCTGATTTTCCAGTAATTTAGGTGCAATATGTAAAACTGTAATAGCAATATGTTTTAAATGTAAAAAAAATTATATAGGACATTGATAAAGCTAGAAATGTAGATATTAAAGAAGCACATGGCAGCCATCTTGAAAAATGGCGGCCTTTATTCGTTTTTTTCACGATTTTTGCTGTAACTTGAAAAGTAGTGGAGCGATTTTGTTCATATTTGGTATGTGAATACTATAAGCGTGGCACACTGTTTAATGACATTTTTGGTAGAAGGCGGCCATTTTTCAAAATTTTAACGTATTTTACTATAACTTGAAAAGTAGTGGAGCGATTTTGTTCATATTTGGTATGTGAATACCATAAGCATGGCACACTGGCTGAAAAATGGCTGCCATTTTTGCTATATACTTTGTTTGCAAAAATGCCAGCCATGGCTGTTCGATGGGATTTGCTACGGTTTGGCGTCGCTGTTGTCTAGTTTAAATTGTCATGGATGTTTTTTGGTATGACATCTGGAACAGTTACAGAATTTACTATTTTGCCAAATAATCTTAATCCATATAACCAAACATTATGTGTTTTAATAGAATGTTCTTAATAAGACAAACTGTAGAGCAATACTCCTAAAGTGGCAATTCTCCTAGACTGGTGCTATAACCATTTATATACTATCCATCGCAGTTCTCATTTCCACATCTAATATAGATCCAACATTGTAACTTTTTATTCAAATTCATATATGAATATAAATGAAAATCCATAAAATATATATCAGCACCAAGTGTCAGGTTTTGCCAATTGAACAGTCATAAAACCACAACAGTTGCTAGAAACATCTACTTTAAAGATGACACCAGTATCCCCATCCGCACAAAGTTCAAAGGTCATGAGTCATGACTATCTGCAATCTACATTAACTTGCATGTGCAAAAACTATGACCGGCAATAACCTTATCCTTGTTGTAAACAAGCTGCAAGAGAATTGTGTAGATGATCTGCAGGAAAATCAATATTACACTGTCAAGTGTACAACAAAGGGGTCACAAGCAACAAACAAATGCAACATTAGTTGTACCATTTTCTGTTTGTTAGGCTTATATTTTTATATCATTGTATATCGTCACATCCACAGCACAAAAGTTTTCTTGGTATACATTCAACTATTTGTTTATGTCTTTCAGATTTGGAGCCCATGTTTAACTTAGACCATCTAGCCACCTTCACAGTAGGACCTAAACAAGGTACAGTTCCTCATCCATGAAACCATCAAGCTTGAACACAACAAATACTTTCAGGAGAAGGAATTTTCTTAATTAAGCTAAAGAAGTTTGAGTAGGGATATATGGAAAAAAACTGATAGTGGCAATTTTGAGAAATGGTTGTTTGAAATCTTGTTACTTATGGGATGTTTGATGACATTTGCTACATATTGACATTGTCGTTATATATTTTTGTAAAAATAGCAACTTGCAATGAATTTCAGGTCTTGTAACACCCAACGATGGTATCCGCAAGCTCCACCAGATGGAAAGAACCACTGGTGTTTGGACCATGCGATGCAAAATGGTCGTTGAAAGACGGGACATAGTCATTCTTGATTCACAAACAAGTGTAAGGGAATATCTTATTAATAACATGATATTCATTTCAATTGTAATTGTCAAAACAGTCCAAAATCCAGAATTGTATTTATAAGATCTGGTATTTATAAGCATGTCAAAAAGTTAGAAAAAATCCAACTAATGTCAACATGTCATCCATTGTAAATGGAAGAATACTTTAGGGGATTATAATGTTGTATAAATGTTTTAGAATATTGTGCAGTAAGTGTACTTTATATTTTGATTATGTACAAATACACAAATATTGAATGATGTTTAGTGCAATACCTGTATATATTTCTGAGGGTGTATTCTATGGGAATACATCCCCCAGAAATATATACAGGTATTGCACAAAAATAGAATTCAATATTTGTTTTATTATTTCGCCCATTTACATGTTTACCAAAATCTGAGCAGAAAAGAAGAAATATAGTGCCTCAAAAATTGAAAATTGGATAAATGATAAATAATGTCACATGTTTACAATAGCCTATACATGTGATGTCACATGTTTACAATACCCTATACATGTGACGTAACATGTTTACAAAAGCCTATACATGTGACGTCACATGTTTACAATACCCTTTACATGTGACGTCACATGTTAACAATAGCCTATACATGTGACGTCACATGTTTACAATACCCTATACATGTGACGTCACATGTTTACAATAGCCTATACATGTGACGTCACATGTTTACAATAGCCTATACATGTGATGTCATATGTTTACACTAGCCTATACATGTGACGCCACATGTTTACAATAGCCTATAAATGTGACCTCAGATTCATTGAATATGTGTATTTATTTTTCTAAAAACACACCTTTCATATCGATGATTTATACATGAATGAAATACCTTGTGGTATTTTTAGTCACATGGTTCATGACTGACCAATCACATGCTGATTATCATTACAGAGATATAATAATTCAATTTATGGATTAAAATACATGTACATGTGTATCTTTCACAAGGGATGTTCCACTAAACCCAAACGATTACCATTGGAATATGATCTTGTGAATATGTCAGAAGTGTTCATTGTTAATAGAATGAAATATTTGTTTTAATATATCCTTGTCGTGTTGATCATCTTAAAAAAGTTTTTATTAATTTGTAATGTTCCTATCTTGATTTCTGACTTCACAAAACATTTGATGAATACAGTCCATTTATTTCCTCGCTGTTCAGGTTAATATGCATCACCAGTGAATAATTGCCTGATATTTCATGAACACTGATAAAATAATATTCAATTGCAGGATGAGATGGAGAGATTTCCCATAGAATTAGTAGAGGAACCCACCGCTGTCACCAATTCTGACCCTAAAAATGTTTACAACAATATAGTTCTATTTACTGTAATAGAAGATAAACGAGCGCCACAGTCCTCTCCATCAGAAATGCACATCTTCCAATGCATATCCCAACCAGTAAGTGACTTTAAGAATTAGATCTAATATATCACATGTCTGGGAGTCTGCGAATATGTTTTAGAATACAAGCACAAACAGGACCTTCATAGATATGCATAACTTATTTGAAGCTGTTATTATTTCACAGGCAATTTTTTATGTCGCAAACGTTCAAAATGACTATTGCGTTGATTTGGTAGAAATTGTGCAGGCAGCTAAGTCTATTAAGGTAGACAATAATTATCTTGCAGTATCGATAAAATATCTTATAAAAGTTGAAAATGTATGCCACTTTTATCGCCAGAAAATCACTATTTCACCTCTTTTTGATCAAGGTAGTCATTAAAAGTATTTTTAATCAATTTGCTTGAAATTGTACAGCTATCTTTTTTAATTAACAATAATGTGTACAAGTTTCCACAAAACATGTCAAAAGGATTCAAAATGGATGTGTATAGGTTAACATAATGTCTAGAATTTTTAGTAAAACATCTTGTAAAATTAAAAATGGCCACCATTTTTTGCAAAAAGTCATGTTTTCAGTCAGTCTTTTGAATGCACTTTCACCTTGTGAAGCTAGTACCCTTGGTACTATTTATATTTGTTTGAAATAAACTTACCCTAAAAGTTGCACTATATGTCATAAAGAAGAGCCTTATAATCAGTAAAAGTCAAATTGATCTTTGGAAAAATTCAGTCATGTAATTTACTTGGTCATGTTTCTTATGATCATGGAATAAGCCATAAATCTGACCTGATATCCTATATTATTGCAGGCAATTGATGTTGTTGAGGACATCAAACGAGCCAAGTCAGGACAAACGTAAGTACATTTCATAGTATGTTGCTTTAGTGTTGCAACTTGCATGTACATGTGACATGATCTAGAGGTAAGGAGCTGAGACCTTTGTTTCCTTAAAGGAATATTCCTTGCCAAACCATCTCTCTCCTCATATGGTAGCTATAACCATATATATGCTTGCCATAGCAAAACACGCAAAAATGTTTTGATATGGTCAAATTTGATCACTTAGAAATGTGATGCTCAATTCCAGTAAGCTGCCATCTTTTAAAATTTTACACAGGAAGTGATGTCATTGACTCTCGACTTTGCATATAGCATTAGGTGTGGAGCTATTAAGAATTACAAAGCAATTACTGAGCAATGATGTTCACCCAAATCCAGGACCTACAAATAACTTTCAACTCACAAAAATTATTTTCTCAAATATTAACAGTATAGGTGCCAATGTAAATGCCAGATTTAAAGCACTAAAAGATAGAATTCACATGAATGGAATTGACATTATTGGACTTTGTGAAGTTGGAAACTTAACCCAAGAGGTAATTAATTCTGAGCAGAGATCACGGTAGACGTTCGCCATTCGCCAATTGCGAATTTTCGAAAGAGGTGGCGAAAAATATGTAAAGGTATTTCGCAGTTATGGCGAATTAGAGGTGTCACGGTTTCCCGATATTGGACCGAATTTCGGTCCAGATGCTTCGGTTCGGGACATGGGACAGAAAGGGTTAATATCGGTACATAGATTCCTTCACTAAAATGCATAAAAACTTGTATAAATAGCGAGGAACACCTCCGATTTCGTTCTGAAATATTTTCACTTACCTCGTACGTAGATTACACTTCTTTGCATTGAAAAGTGTATTAACGGACCTGCGATTTCAGGTAGATGGTAATGCTTGTTCGTAAATTTCTTCATCGTCGTTCGCAAATCTAGTGCATTATCAGTATGCCGGATGTAGGAAAGAAATTGAAAAATCGAGCCGGCATCTAAGTCGAAAAAGTCGGCAGTTTGGAAGTATTTTGGGACTCCGATATCACAAGGTAAACGAATTGGTAATATTACACCGTGCAGACTATGTGAAATGCCGATCACATTCGCGGCAGATGCTTTACATTCAATTTTAATGGACGTTTTTTTATTCCTGAATATGATTTTGAAAAGTGAAACTGAAAGTGAAACTGTCATCATCAGACATTTCATCATTTTTAATGTTCTGTCCCGTCCCGTCCCGTCCCGAAAGTAACGTGTTGAGACCATTTGTACCGTTCCGTACCGTACCGAAATTTTCTTGGACCGTGACACCTCTATTGCGAATTCCCTTTTTTACGGTTTTTCAAAATGGCTAATTCATATTTTGGTTGGCTAAAAATATTTTGGAAGATTTAGCCACAATGGTTTTTCAACTATCGTGATCTCTGATTCTGAGTATTCTATTGATGGTCATTCTCATGTATACTTAAACAGAAATCGAGGACTTCTGATATATGTTAAAGATGACATACCTTTTAAAGTAAGATATGACCTCATGAATGATCAGGGTGATTCCTTATGGATTGAGTTAACCATTAACTATAAATCTTACCTTTATGCAATATTTAATTATAGATCACCTTCTCAGTCTCAAAATGATGCAAATGATTTTTGTAATCGGTTTACAGCTTCATGTAATCTGGCACTTGATAATAACCCTGAATCAATTTTTATCAATTGAGATTTCAATGTAAAGAATGGTGGGCCTTGGATAATGAAAACACTACAGGAAAATTTTTATTTGAATGTATCGAGGAACTTGGACTTGTGCAACTCATTGATGAACCGACTCGTATAACAAACATCAGCAGATCATGTATAGATTTACTCATCTCAAATAACCCTGACATCATTACAAATACTTATGTCTCTCCTCCAATTGGCAACACAGACCATTGTTCAATAAACACCGAGTGCTTTCTTGGTAATCAAAAAAATCGCCCGTATTCAAGGAAAATATGGAAATATGACGAGGCAGACATTAACTTAGTTAACAATGCAATCCATGCGGCAAATTTTGATCATTTAATAGACACTAACAACAACTTTGATGACCTTATCAAAATATTTTCTGGAAGTCTACTTGCAATTTTCACAGACCTCATTCCAAACTCAGAAATTGTTGTAAAATCTACTAACAAGTCATGGTTCACAAGTGACATTAAAACATTAATTAATAAAAGAAATAAATTGCATTATAAGTATAGAAAAACTCATAATGACATCTACCTTCAAAAATATACAGATCAATGTAAACTGGTAAATGAGGCTATAAGTGAGGCAAAAGAGGCAATGGAATCAAGATTGTACCAAAAATTAACAACTCATAGATATGGAAGTAAGAGGTACTGGTCAATTATTAGTAGGCTCCTAGGCAAATCAAAAAATAGTAAAATACCCCTCCTCAACGATGCCAATGGTAATAATTACACTGATAGTTGCGACAAAGCAAATTTATTGTTATCACATTTTATTGACAAATACCATAATAATTATAATCATGGAAATGAACCATTTATTCCAAGAACCGATATAACATTTGACCTGCTCTCTACCAATGACAGAGAAGTCTATAACATTCTACTCGGCGTAAATATTAATAAAGCCACTGGCCCTGACATGTTGAGTAACAGAATGCTAAAAATGGCAGCACCATCACTTTCACCTATTTTATCAAAACTGCTTAACAAAATGTTTACTTTGAATCAATATCCTCAACTATGGAAGGTCGGTCATATTGTAGCTATTCATAAAAACAAAGATAAAACAGATGTGAAAAATTATCGCCCAATAACATTCCTGTCTTGTATTTCTAAAGTCGCCGAGCGCATTATTTTTAAAAGACTCTTTGATCATCTCATTTCTAACAATTTATTTTACAATCTTCAAAGTGGTTTCCTGCCAGGACATAGCACACAGGCACAACTTCTAAGTATTATTGACCACATAACAAATGAAATTGAAAATGGGGCAAATGTAAGAGGGATATATCTTGATATTTCGGCTGCATTTGATTCAATGCCCCATGGGCTACTATTAGGAAAATTGAAAATGTTTGGTTTTGGTCCGAATATCCTGGAATTGATGAAATCATATTTACTACACAGACAAGTGAAGGTGGTATTAGATGGTCATGAGTCAAACTTATCTGAAAAGGGTTATATCAATTCTGGAGTTCCTCAAGGCTCGATCCTGGGGCCCCTCTTATTTTTGATCTATATCAATGATTTACCTGACAATTTGAATTCAAAATGTTTCATCTACGCAGATGATACCTCAATTTACCAGTCATTCACAGCTGAAACAGCAACTGAAATGAACAATGCCCTACAGGAGGATCTCAACCATATTTTTCAATGGTCTGAAGTATGGAAATTAAATTTTAAAGCTTCTAAAAGCAAAGATTTGACCTTTTCCAATCCAAAGAAACGTGAAATTTTGACCATAGATCTTTCTCTCGGAAACGACATTATACCAAGAGTAAACAGCCATAAGCACTTAGGCTTAATCCTAGACAGAAATCTCACTTTTGACCTTCACATAACCAGTGTTTTCAGTAGGCTTGTCCAAAATTGCGTCCCTTGGACGTAATGATTTTCAAAAAATGCGTCTCCCTTCAAAAAACTGCGTCCCTTGAAAAAATGTTCCCGGGAATTCAAAAGTCACGTTTTTACACTGGATGAAATAAATTGATGAAATTTTGTACCACTGCTTTTGCTATTTATCGGTCTGAATCAGCGTTCTTGCAAGTCTAGTATGTCATTGAATGATACAGATACCATCATAACTTATATTCTCCCATTTAAAACACCTTTTCCTTGCGAATTTCGAAACAATTTGCTATTGATTTTGCTTTAGCATGTTTAGTTTAGGGGCAATCTGCGCGAGGTTCAACTTTTTAGTTCAGTTTCTTGCGCATATGCAGTCTCAAATAATGATCACGTGATCACACTTGACCAATTGAAAATGGTTTGAATCAGGTCTTAAGCTACCGGCCAATCGTAGGACTCATACTGATTACTGCTCGGAAATCGAGTATTGTATAAATTTTTGTCCTATCACATGCCTCGTACTATTTCGATCAGAAATCAACTTCCGGGAAGGAAATTTCGAAAGAAAATTTTATTTCTTTTAGAAATAGAATTTTCTTCAATTATTTATTGGATTCTGACGAAATAAAGAGACTGAAGGTAAGATCTTTATCAAATCATTCATCCAAAGTTGATTGTATGAGTATGGCTTGCACTGCGTCCACAAAACGCAATCACTTTTTATTTCCGGGTCCATGGATTTTTCATTACGTTTTTGCAATACTTGGACGGCGTTATTGAAATAGCAGATAACTGAACTTGGTGCAAGAATAGACAAACTTTTAAATCCACTGAAAGCGCTCTGTCAGAAAATAAATGGAAAACATCTCGAAACAATCTTTAAATCTTTTATCCTGCCACTTTTTGACTATGGTGATATTTTATATGGGTGTGCAAACACAACAAAATTACAGTTATTAGATCGACTTTACTATAAAGCTGCATTTGTTCAGGTACTCTACATGGGACTTCGACAATTAAAGTGTTGAATAATTTAAATTGGCCAACATTAACAAAGAGGCGTCAATATCACAGAAGCATTTTCATGTATAGGGCACATAATAATATGCAGCCCTCTTATGTTCTTAACATATTTGAGCCTCTCAAAAGAAACCATGCTTATGGTCTAAGAAATCAACTGAGCTACACAATTCCTAATAAATCCTCATTTTCTAATAGATCTTGCATATCAAAAACACTGACTGAATGGAATAAGCTTTCACCTGAAATAAGAAATTTACCTACCCTTAGTATATTCAAATCCAGACTTAAAATAGATCTATTCAATGACGATGTTACAAATTCATCAGAACTCTCCGTTTCAAGAAAACAAGAAATAATTTTCAATAGAGTGCGCTGTGATCTCATTTTTAAGGCTCACCTTTACGCTCACAATTTCACTAATATAAACTCCCCCATTTGCCAGTGTGGAATGGATTGTGAAACAACCAATCACGTCATTTTTCACTGTAATCCAAGATCAACATTTTGGACAGAATTTGAAAATGAATTAAAAAATATGAACATAGAATATTCTACTAAATATAGATCACAACGAGACAAACTCTCCCTTATCCTCAATGGCGATAAAAGGCTACCTAAAGCTGTAAACTTAAATATCCTCAAATGTAGTGCCATCTTTTTTGAACGATGTAAAAATGTCTAGGTCACCCCCACCACTGTAACCCTCCACAAATACAACCCCTATTTTAATAATTGATTGAATACTGTTAATTGATTTTCATCATATAACGTGGCTGATAATGCTGATGCCCAGCCACAAGCACATGTGCACTTGTTTACTGTATTCTTTGTATAAATATATAAATAAATAAAATAAAAAAAATAAATAAAAAAAAAGAATTACAAAACCAGCTAAATATTCTTTTTCAACTTTGTATCTTATTTAATGCTTCTGAAAATCTCTTCTTTTATTCTAAGTTGACAAGCCCTGAAAATATTTTTGCACAGAAAGTAATGATCACTTGTCTAGAAGTGATTTTGTGCTACTTTCCTATACTGTTATGGGCAAGGTTATAGAAGTTGAGAGTTGATGACATCACTTCATACAAGAAATCTTAAAAGATGGCAGCTCACCGGAAATAAGCACTAGATTTTTAAATGATCAATATTGACCATATTAAAACATTTTCCCATGTTTTGCTAAATATGGAAACTATATATATGATTATAGCTACCATATCAAGAGAGAAAGGGTCTGGCAAGGAATATTCCTTTAAGAAGTATTATCTCAGTTGAATTCATCACCATAAAAAGAACAGATAGTGGATAGTGCAATTGTTAGCTGATTATGTTAGGATGAATCTTGTTTACTGTTAGTCATTTCAAAAATTCTATCCAGTGTAAATATTGTTTTGAACATTTGCCTGGCTTTTTTTATTTAGATTCCAAAAACACAGTTACCAACCACCGCCATTACTAGATGTTGCCACTGGTCCACACAATGGTGTCAGCAATGTTCAAAAACATGTAGAGAAATATGAAAAAGAGGCTGTTGGTAAGTGCAAGCCAATCTTTTAAACAATAACTCAGATGCGAGTAGGTAGTTACCAGGTTCACCACCAGGTGGCTCATTCGGGTCAGATAGCATGGCAGGTATAGTAGAAAGTTCCCTTTAACTTAAATATTATCAGTTTTAGTGGTTCAATTTTCATATCACCCTTTGATAAATAATTTTCAAAACCATATTATAGATGTACTTTTACATGTAGATTTCAAATATGACATCGCTTTGACTTTTTAATATTAAATGGTGTAAAACAAGATTATTTCTACTCGCATCTAGTCTATTGAATATCATAAAATTGACCCAATGTTTTATTTCACACAAAGACTACACATTCATGCTCAGTGCAAGCCAATCTCTTAACCAATTGAATATCATAAAATTGACCCAATGTTTTAATATCACACAAAGACTACACATTCATGCTCAGTGCAAGCCAATCTTTTAAACAATTGAATATCATATAATTGACCCAATGTTTTTTTCACACAAAGACTACACATTCATGCTCAGTGCAAGCCAATCTTTTAAACAATTGAATATCATAAAATTGACCCAATGTTTTATTTCACACAAAGACTTTACACTTTTTTGCTCCTATCAATTTTATTTTCACTTTAAAGCTTGCAATTGTTTGTTTGCTCAAACAGGTCATATATTTGTAGAAAATTGAATTAAAAGTAAAGAGGAAAGTGACATATCTGATGATGTTGCACTTCAGATAAGACAAACTCTCAGTTGCTAATTTTTGTTTACATATTAATCACTGACATCAGTGGTTGACAATGTTTCAGAATTCAGGAACTCGCCACCAATCAGCCCCTACGGCCCATCAAAACGCCAGTGGTCATTTAACAACAAACAAGACAGGGATGATGATGCCTCATCAATTTCAAGTGAACGCCTAGAACGGGAGACTGTAAGTTGTTATCTAAGTTTTTATTTTACATATTTTGATATTCACTGGACATTTAATAATGAATCAATCTACCAGGTATAAGACCTTGGCTCTGATATTTCATTCAACAGGAACTTTGTGGTAGAGACATTCTTCATTTCCTAATAGGATATCTGAAACATTTAACATTACAATAATTACATGTAACTAAGTTGGTCCCTTACTGGACAGGTTGGCAATTTTTAGAGCTCCTAAATATGATCAGTTTTTACATAGATGGGCTAGATCATGAAAGAAAGCCTTGAAATCTACAGTTTAGATACCAAAAATTGCCTGGAATTATAAACCAGAAGTTATCATCATTTTCAACCCAAACGAGTCGACTCCTCAACTAGAGGAGTCGATTCGGGTCAACCCGAAGGCCTCAACCCGCGGGGAATCGACTCATCGGGTCATCGTACCACCCCTAGTTTTTAGCATAAAAGTGACTAATTCTACGATATAATTTCTCAAAATATAATGCATATTACCCCGGGGTGTCCTTTTCATATCACTTGTAAATTTATATTGTATGAAAACTAGAATTGAATAATAAAAATTGAATTGAATTGAATATGTTACCTAAAGGGGTGGAGAACTTATTGGAATTACTAAAATTACAAGGACAGATGTTTTACAACTATAAAATGCAAGGCAATGGATTACATACAACTATAAGTTTGAGATTTACAACAGGTGAATATACTGGACAAGAGGTCAGGCAAAACACAAAACAAGTACACAGAGAGACCAAGTTAGAATGACCCAGTTCAAAAACTCAAACTTAAAACAAACTAGCTGTGATAACGATTCGCAATACAATACCATGTTTTATAATGAAACGGGCAACAATAGGAAATTAGCAGGCACTCATTCCTCAAAACCTCTGAGTGAAGCTGACTGGTCTAAAGCAAACCCATTCATACCAAAACAAGTTAGTGTAACCAGTGAGGGACCATATCAAAACACACATGAAAATGTTGGAGTACACACAATATGTATGGAACCTGCATCAACTCAAAATGATAAACAGACATCTGGAGAGGATTTAAACACACAGATCACCAATAATGTAATGAAATGTTTGGACGAAAAACAAACTGAACCAAAACTTAAAATCAGTGTCTATCAACCAAAAAGAATAATTCTCGATACAAAGGTCAGACAGTGAATAGATCAAGCAATACAGACAGTATTTTGTCAAATGATTCCTGTAGTCAAACAAACATTACTCAAACTAAAAGTAAAGCAGTAAGTGCTAGGATACGAAAACAGAATATTCTCATGAATACAGATAAACAAACTGATATTACTCAAACTGAACGTAAAGCAGTAAGTGCAAGGATACACACACAGAATATTGCTACAAACACAGATGAAACCTTAATAAAAGCAACAGTTGTTGAGAGCAAGCTTAACAGCGATGATCTAAAGTCACGTTTAGAAGACAGTAAGTGTAACACTGTCATACATTATACCTTCCTAGCTCATCAACAACGTGGAGATGAGAACATAGATGTATATATTGCTAATCTTGATGCCTTTATTGTGATTATATCCCATGACATGAAAGAATCTGAGATACAAGGGACATTACTTAAAGACCCTGAGGCAAAATGGATTGACATTGCCCATGAAATGCTTCTTCACAGCATCTGTGTCAGTGAATAGAAAGGACTTAAATGGATACATGATCATATCTTTGAGTTCATATAAGATGGCTCTGACAAAGTTCTTTCCCTACCCCAGGTTGTTGACCAGAATCCACAAGAGGCATAAATATAATTATCTAACCTTGGAACAGACTAAGTTGGACTTATTGTGTATACTCCTTCTTTTTCAAAATAAGATCTTTACTGGGTGAAATATGATTGACATATTTCTTCTGCGTATAAACACTTAATAAGCACTTTTCAGGAATTCCTGGAGTGAGATTAACTGTGGGAGACGACATGTATTGCTAATTTCAATCCTCTGGGGTCTTATTTTATTTGAACATTCATTGTAAAAAAGATTTTGAAATATATGAGCTTAAAAAAAATACTATATGTAGCTATAAGTATTTTAATTGTGAAACTTGAGAGATTTCACTCATAAGTGAAACTACAACTTATGTTTATGCCCTTCGCAACAGAGACATACTTATACTTATATTTTATTGATCAATTCTTATATCCTTTCACAGAAAATTAATGGTTTTCTTATTTAATCCCTTTCTTATATCTCCCCATAAAAATGCCTTACATGATTGTTGAATGTATTCCAGCAAATCCTGAACCATTGTTTTGACGACATTGAGAAGTTTGTTGCCCGGTTACAGCAGTCAGCTGATGCCTTTAAGGAACTGAATAGGCGCAACAGATCTGGCAGTAGACAACGGAAAGACAGGCGACATGGAGGTAAGCTACCAACCCCACATTCTGAAGATTAAGTCCTATAAACTTTGACTCTAAACTTATCACCACAGTCCAGCTCCAAAATGGAGAACAGTTTGGTCTTGGTATCAACAAATCCAGATATTTTATATGTCCATTCTGTGATGGAGATATAAATCTGCATCCACTTCAACATATGTTGAATGGTATTTGACCAGTTGTCTTTCTGACAATTTCATGCAAAAGTACTAGTCTCAGTATGCAATCTCTAGACATAGGTTGAAATCTGGACCACAGGTAAATTTCCATTAATATATAAAGTGGATATAGAGTAATCTCTTCATCACTGAATGGACACTATTTTTACATGTAAAATACCTGGATTTGTCAAATGTCTAAACACTGATGTGGAGTGCATAACCAAATGTTCCTTCAGTTTGGTGTTGGACTTTTTGTAAAGTCAATGTTCACGGGATGTCATCGCCTGATTTGGTCAATGTTAGGGAGCAGGTCGTTTTTACAATAAATTTCAATATTTTCACACAAAATATTTTTTTACTGAAAAACTGCTCATTCGCAGAGAAAATGTACTAGCACATGCAATGACAATGTCAATCACGCTTCTGTACGAAATTCGGCGGAAGTCTTTTATAATCTAATACGAAGTTACTAAAAAAGGCGCGAACGCCCTACACTCAAAATGATCGTTTTTCCATTATAACTTTTTAACGTTATTTAACGAAGGCTTCTAATTATTATCCAAGATAGTCTAAATACCGATTAAAATATTTCTTACTTCAAACAGATACGCCGTCTTTTATTCAATTTTTTAAAAAATAATAAAAAATAACTCTTGTCAATGTTAGGGAGCAGTCAATGTTAGGGAGCAAAATGATTTTATCAGAATATTAAAAATGTAGCAAATGGCCATTTAAAATATGTATGGCATTTATAAACTGAACAATTTTGTTTGTATGATTATTTGATACCCTTTGGGGAGGAAAGCGTTAAAATTGTAAGAAAATCATTGAAAAGGTTATTTTGCATTTTTTATTTTCAGCTAAATCCTGTTTACGTTCGTTTTAGAAATATTTAGATGCGAACCATTCCTTCTTTATTCGTTGACCTCTAACTGTAAATGAATGGATGTATCGTTATATACACTTTTTGATGATGTCATCAGTTCACAATCCTAAATTGTGGATGATAAATTATCTGAACTGATATATAGGCTTGAGAAATCTCCGACATCCTTCAGTTCTATGATTTGATATTTTCCTAGTATTAAAGTAAGAGAGTTAGTCTCGCACTTATCTTTACGACCGGGTATCACCTGATAGCCAGGGCACGCCTTAAGCGTCGGACAGCTGGTCATTATCTGGTTACTTTTGATACTGACCAGTTGATTTTTTCACTAGGTATAGGAAAATAACATTGCAACTGGTCAGTAATGCCTTTTTGACCAGCAGCTCTGGAATCCTTAGGGCATACACTGCTGATAGCTGGCACAAACGCTATGAAGGGCTCATTGCGCAGTTACATGTATGATAGTAAATTTTTACACGTATACTTCAATTTGTCAATACTCAGACAATGCAGTATATAACCGATCTCTGTTATATGTGTACCACTTGCTAATGATACTCTAAAGCCCGGTATACACCAATGGGACAAGTTGGGACCTCCATAGACTTAACATGGCGTGGGACCTAGTGGGACCTTTTGGGATTTTGCCCCATGAAGTCCGTGGGAATCAATGGGACTCCGTCGGATTTTGCCCCAACTTGCATATAATCTTGCCCCATCGAGTCCCATGAGGTCCATTTTCTGAAGATAACAAAAATGCAAAACAATTTTTTTTATCGATTTTGTTAAATTTTGTTAAGGCAAGGGGTTTAAAATAATCATTCAAACAATATTGTTTAGTTTATAAATGCCATACATATTTTAAATGGCCATTTGCTACATTTTTATTAATATTCTGATAAAATCATTTTGCTCCCTAACATTGACTGCTCCCTAACATTGACAAGAGTTATTTTTTATTATTTTTTAAAAAATTGAATAAAAGACGGCGTATCTGTTTGAAGTAAGAAATATTTTAATCGGTATTTAGACTATCTTGGATAATAATTAGAAGCCTTCGTTAAATTACGTTAAAAAGTTATAATGGAAAAATGATCATTTTGAGTGTAGGGCGTTCGCGCCTTTTTTAGTAACTTCGTATTAGATTATAAAAGACTTCCGCCGAATTTCGTACAGAAGCGTGATTGACATTGTCATTGCATGTGCTAGTACATTTTCTCTGCGAATGAGCAGTTTTTCAGTAAAAAAATATTTTGTGATGTTGCTGCTGTGGAAAATTATGTTAAAATTAGAAAACTCGAAAAAGGTTAATAAAAGCACTATTCTGATGATTCATCTAAGTTAAGTTAATGTAACAATATTGGTGAGTGAAACTTCTGGCATGCAGCATGGTTGAATGCTCTCTTTGTAGATGTGTACATATTTTGTTAATTATTTTCAGATGGCATCCTAACAATGAGAGCTAAAACCCTTCCAGTGCAAGACTTTGTAGACATCTTCCAGAAATTTAAATTATCTTTTAACCTGCTGGTAAGTGGGAAAATGTTTTTTACAATCATGGAAAAGATATATAATTTCTAGTTCTTAAAATATTAATGATTGGATGGATACTGAACATGTAATTGAACTGGATATGTAAGTGATAGATATAGATAGAATATAACCTTGAAAATTAAATCTCTGTTCCTAAAGTTGATTAAAGGATCATCTCCATCATTTCAGGCTAGGTTAAAGGCACACATTCACCAGCCAAATGCTCCAGAACTAATTCATTATCTATTCACACCATTAACGCTCATAATTGATGCTAGCAAAGATCGTGACGGAAGCCCAGTGCTAGCACAGAAAGTTATTTCTCCATTGCTCACCAGAGATGCCATAGAATTACTGGTTCATTGTCTCACTTCCAAAGAACAAGATTTGTGGATGTCTATGGGAGATTCTTGGACTATATCAAGGTAGATAGCTATTTGAGATGCACAGTAAAGCCTTGAATGTTTATGCCACTCTTAACTGAACTCACTTTGTGGTTTCCGTCATCATAAATGTGTACCCATAACCTGTGTCCCAGTTAAATTCACTTCAGACATGCCTAGCTGTTTTGTAACTAACAAGAGCTACGATTATTACATTTATAAAATAGTCTGTCAGAGAGGTTTTAAATATCAACAGCAAAGTTGCCCTATTTGTCTCTAAGATATTAACTTCTAAATCTTATGTTACTAGAAACAATTGTCTTATATTTGTAGAGAGCAATGGAAGGCTTATGCTCCCCCCTACAACCCAAGATTCTATGATGGGTGGCAGCCCCACCCTTCCCTTCTTGAAGAGTTCAGTACAGGGGCAGGGATGGCTTCTGTCGTCATGGCACACCAGGACCAAATAAGGAGGCCAGATGAACGGCCAAGAGTAGGTTTCCCATTCGGTTGAATGTCAATATGCATTGTTTAAAGGTAGTATCAGATCTACCTATTTTCTAAGAATGATTTCATGAAATCTAAAGATTTTTACAATGATGTATCAGTGCTCTATGAATTTGATTACCACATTTATTATTTGTGAGAATTTAAACATTTTTCCCTATTACATGTATTTCACTTTGAATATTAAATAAATTCACCAATTTATAACATATTGCAGATCTCTTGGGATATATTATTTTTGAGATCATTGGAAATATATTGCTAGGTCATGATTATACATATTGCTTGCAATTCTGTCACGCCTATAGATCTGATTCTGCCTTTGATATCTCAAAAATGTGATATTAATATATGTCAGTTATCTTTTGGCAATGCATCTAGTATGTTGGCCAATATGAAAAATCTGTTTCATGAAATCTGCATTATTTCCTCCTCTTTAGTTAAAGATTCTATACATATGATTAGGTAACAGACTACATAGGATTAAAGATGTCAGAAAATAAATTTTTACGGTCATTGAACAATGGAGTCTCCGTAAGATTGCTCAGAATCTTAAGTGTCTTATTACATGTAATGGGAAACATTAACCTTTATACCTTCTTTTGTAGGATGATTATGATCGGCAATACCAGAGGTAAAATATAGAATACAAAAGACCTTAAGATTGCCCGGAAAACCCCAACCTCATTTTTCCTTTTGTGATCTTTGTTCCCTTTCCGTGCATTATGCAGGCCTCTAGTATTTACAGAAATAATTTTAAAACATTTAAACACCATTTAGAAAAATTATATTGTTTTATTTATTCTGAATCCAGCATCTACATATATAAATATTTAATAGAATAATATCATATAATAAACGTAATTATTTGTGAAATTATTTTTTCTTTGGGCGTTCTGATCAATTTTTAAAAAAAGTTAATGCAGACTTACTTTAGATTATTTCTGGATATGATATTGTGTTTTTGGAAGTAACCTGTCAGGGATATTCTAACTTTACAATATGATAATGAAAGGGAAATTTTTCAGGGATCGAGAACAAGATATAAGAGAAAAGGAGCTTAGAGATCGAGACCTTAGAGATCGAGAGCTTAGAGACCGGGAGCTTAGAGAAAGGGAGATGAGGGAGCGAGAACAGAGGGAGCGAGATGAACTTGACCGAGAAAGGAGGGAACGTGAACAACTTGAGAGGGAGCGCCGGGATCGTGAACTGAGAGAAAGAGAAATGGAAAAACAAAGAGAAAGAGAAAGAATAGACAAAGAAAGAGAACAACGATATGGTAAACCCAACTTTGAGGATACACAGAGGAGATTCCTCGAGAGTTTACTGAGAAGTGGTGCCATGTAAGTTGGAATTCAATTAGGAAAAGCATAGAAGATATAAAATTTGTTCAGAAAATCAATCTAAGGCTCAGTCACATTTGCTCTTAGGCAACTGTACAGTGGCCATAGTTTAACAAAATCTACATCGTACTGCAATATTCCTATATTTTATGCTGCATATTTCTCTCGATCCTTGGGAAGGTACAGCCAGTGTACAGTTGCCGTTGATCATATGTGAGGCTTCACTCGGGTCCATCAATCTTTACCCCATTGTAAAGATATGTTCATGACATATTTATTATCATGTAATACCAATCATCTACTTAACGCATCCTCCTAAGCAGGTGTCCAGAATCCCTACCTCCTTCTTCCCCCTGCTATAACCAATTTGGAAGCGCCCGATTTAACTGAACCACGTGATCTTATTATGCGCAATGACTTATACATGATTTTTGTCGCAGTGTTGCAGCAGCCAATCAGATTGCGAGTCTTAATCGGGGAAATGCTAACTGTTTATCGCAGGGGGTAAAAAGAAAGAATATATTCTGGATTTTGAAGCCCTGTGATCCGAGGATGTCTTAACGCTGTGGAACTAAAACAGTGGTGGCCACCAATGATGCAATCATTCTATCTCACATGTTATAATGACAAATTATATGCCATTTAAAGGGTTGCATATACCTTACCATATGGATACAGTGTACATCATGGCGGCTCGAGGCAAATCTAATGGATCAGTCTATTTTTAAGATATTAGGGGAGTTAGGGAAATTCCATTTTATTGAAATCGTCTTCCTGAAGATAAAACTATCCATCGAAAAGTTTACAATCTGTAAATATTGGGTGGTTAAGAGGGTGAATTATCCTGAAATGTTCAATAGATTTTACCAACAGGAGACAATACTACTGCCTGAAATGTTTAACTGAACCACGTGATCTTATTATGCGCAATGACTTATACATGATTTTTGTCGCAGTGTTGCAGCAGCCAATCAGATTGCGAGTCTTAATCGGGGAAATGCTAACTGTTTATCGCAGGGGGTAAAAAGAAAGAATATATTCTGGATTTTGAAGCCCTGTGATCCGAGGATGTCTTAACGCTGTGGAACTAAAACAGTGGTGGCCACCAATGATGCAATCATTCTATCTCACATGTTATAATGACAAATTATATGCCATTTAAAGGGTTGCATATACCTTACCATATGGATACAGTGTACATCATGGCGGCTCGAGGCAAATCTAATGGATCAGTCTATTTTTAAGATATTAGGGGAGTTAGGGAAATTCCATTTTATTGAAATCGTCTTCCTGAAGATAAAACTATCCATCGAAAAGTTTACAATCTGTAAATATTGGGTGGTTAAGAGGGTGAATTATCCTGAAATGTTCAATAGATTTTACCAACAGGAGACAATACTACTGCCTGAAATGTTCAATAGATTTTACCAACAGGAGACAACACTACTGCCTGAAATGTTCAGTAGATTTTACCAACAGGAGACAACACTACTGCCTGAAATGTTCAATAGATTTTACCAACAGGAGACAACACTACTGCCTGAAATGTTCAGTAGATTTTACCAACAGGAGACAATACTACTGCCTGAAATGTTCAGCAGATTTTACCAACAGGAGACAATGCTACTGCCTGAAATGTTCAGTAGATTTTACCAACAGGAGACAATACTACTGCCTGAAATGTTCAGTAGATTTTACCAACAGGAGACAATACTACTGCCTGAAATGTTCAGTAGATTTTACCAACAGGAGACAATACTACTGCCTGAAATGTTCAGTAGATTTTACCAACAGGAGACAATACTACTGCCTGAAATGTTCAATAGATTTTACCAACAGGAGACAATACTACTGCCTGAAATGTTCAATAGATTTTACCAACAGGAGACAATACTACTGCCTGAAATGTTCAATAGATTTTACCAACAGGAGACAATACTACTGCCTGAAATGTTCAATAGATTTTACCAACAGGAGACAATACTACTGCCTGAAATGTTCAATAGATTTTACCAACAGGAGACAATACTACTGCCTGAAATGTTCAGCAGATTTTACCAACAGGAGACAATACTACTGCCTGAAATGTTCAGTAGATTTTACCAACAGGAGACAATACTACTGCCTGAAATGTTCAGTAGATTTTACCAACAGGAGACAATACTACTGCCTGAAATGTTCAGTAGATTTTACCAACAGGAGACAATACTACTGCCTGAAATGTTCAGTAGATTTTACCAACAGGAGACAATACTACTGCCTGAAATGTTCAATAGATTTTACCAACAGGAGACAATACTACTGCCTGAAATGTTCAATAGATTTTACCAACAGGAGACAATACTACTGCCTGAAATGTTCAATAGATTTTACCAACAGGAGACAATACTACTGCCTGAAATGTTCAGTAGATTTTACCAACAGGAGACAATACTACTGCCTGAAATGTTCAATAGATTTTACCAACAGGAGACAATACTACTGCCTAAAATGTTCAGCAGATTTTACCAACAGGAGACAATACTACTGCCTGAAATGTTCAGTAGATTTTACCAACAGGAGACAATACTACTGCCTGAAATGTTCAATAGATTTTACCAACAGGAGACAATACTACTGCCTGAAATGTTCAATAGATTTTACCAACAAGAGCCAACACTACTGCCTGAAATGTTCAGTATAATGAGTGATTTTATAACTGTCTTCATAAAATCTACTACTCAGGGATCCCCTTTGGAACCATTGTAATTAAAGATTTGGTTGTAAGTCATTGTTAATTAAAAAGTAGACACTTGTTTTCTGGAAATCATACCTAGTGCAATTGTACCAAAACGAACAACAGGGAGTTGTTGATTTTCTAGTTATTAATGGTTTGTATTGTTTCTTTCAGGGCTTGTGAAGTAACTCATGACAGGGTTGGCAAAAATGAAAAAGAGCTTACTGTGCAAAAGGGTGAGATCATTGAGGTACGTTTTTATCATACCTAAAAAAGGTACAATATTTTTGTCAGCTTGGCGGGCAAGCAAGCGTCATCTTACTTTTCTTGTCATCACGATTTCAGGAAACCCACTGCATGGATTTACTTCAAATTTTACACATGTTCCATGGTAAGAAGTTCTTAAGTTGATTAACTTTTCAGTGACCATCTTGTATTCTGGCGGCCATCTTGGAAGTTTTTAGATAAATCTTTTCATCACGATTCCAGGAAAACCACTGAACAGATTTGCTTCAAATTTTTACACATGTTACATTACCTACATGGTAAGAAGTTCTAGAACTTTTCGGCAGCCATCTTGCATTCTGGCGGTCATTTTGAAAGTTTTTATTAGATACATCTTGTCATCGCGATTCCATGAAATCCGCTTTGCGGGTTTACTTCATATTTCTACACATGTTACATGGAAAGAAGTTCTACATCTGATAAACTTTTCAGTGGCCATCTTGTTTTCTGGGTCAACAAGCCCAAACTGCTATGTTTTAGGTACGATATTGTTCACCCTGTGCCTTGTTATTGCTTATTATGAGGTCTACTTAGTTCTATCATAAAATGGACAAAATCAGGAGTGATTCAATAAAATATGTTTTGCGTTGTATTTGGTTCTCCATGGAGTGCCTGTTTGTCTGAATGACATCTTCATATGTTCTTTCAGGTTATGGACAATTCTAGAAATTGGTGGAAGTTAAGAAATGCCAATGGTGACATGGGTCATGCACCCTACACCATACTGAAGGAATACCAGCAGACTGGTTCAGCACCAGGCCCCCCAAGAGACTCTTACGACAGGCGTGACCCTTATGATGATAGAGTAGGCCGATATTAATAATAATGTCACCAACAGCATGGAGTGGGCTGCTGCTGCTGCCATCTATAGTTAAATCTGCTGAGCCACCCTTCATTTGCTTTTACCGGCCACATTGCCAAAATTTTGAATATAGCACATCACTCAGCTTATCAAATTAAATTTTATCATTGTGTGTTATGAGGAATATGTGAAAGATTGCCATGTAATATGTGATACAATTCAGATCATTCATTTTGAGTGAGAGGGGATTTTATGAGGCATTAGACGAAATGGTAGTAGCCAAGTGAAAATCCTTACTACCTTGATTAAAAATGCTTTTGGCAATATGTTATACCTAGCAATACCTTAACCAATTAGTGCCTCCCTTAAAGTATACTATTATTCCACCAAACTTGTTTGGGAAAGAAACAAAGAAGCTGCTTGAAAAGAAATTTTCAGTAGTTCCAAATGTCCTGATTTTTAGTGAGAATTTTAAATCATTGATAATCCAAAAATCAGTTGTTAGATTTGGTTCAAAAGGTTTTGATAAATTACGGGTATGAACCTTGGTCTTGAAGGTTTTTCATCTGGCTGTTTTTCATAACAATTTGGCTAGAATTTGAAGGCATCTTCATCAATTTTGAATATTCACAATAGCAATGTTTAAAAGTCAACCCTCTTGAGCAAGAGAAAACTTTCAAAGTTAAAAAATGGTCCTCATGTTCTGTAAAAAACTAAAGTTGAATAATTCATTTAAATGAAATGGCTGATCAAATCAAAATTAATAAAAAATTGTTGAAAAGACATTCTACTGTATAACATGTCAGATAAACTGTTATATTATTAAATCTTTTTGCCAAAAAGCACTTAAGAATCTGATTATTCCCAACATAAAAATTTGCAATGAACAAGTGATTTGATTAAATGTTTTGGTCTGTGGAATTTGACATTGAAATGCTGTTTTTTTCTAGTTGTATGGTTTAGTTATTTTCTTGCAATTCTCACATTTAATACTGCTATGTATTTATACAATTTATTTATAATTGAAGACCTTTCAGCTAGAAAGGGTTGAAGGAAAGCTTATTTAGTCTATATGTTAAGTATTTGTGATCTTCCTTTATCAGTGTTGCACTTAACTTTTAATTTACTCAATGATTCAGTTTTCAACTCTGGGATTCCAACAAGTAATCAAACAAGTTGTCCGAGACATCTATATGGTAGTTGCATATTGTCACCTTTTCTCTAATGAACTTGGCTGTCGATCCACATTGTGACAAAAAACTTTCAAGTCTTGTCACAAATTGCGACGAAAAATGCCTTGGAGAATTAATAATTTTTTAATTATTTATTAAGTTGCTTGTTGGCAGTTTTATCACCAAATCATGTGAATGATATGCTTATTCTGCCAAAATCCTCGCCACAGAGCTTAAAATACACATTTTGTCGCAATTATGTACTATTTTGTCATATCTGTATTTAATAGAAACAGTATTTAAATATGTAACGCTGAATGTCAATCACAATTGCAATTAACTATTAAAAATAGCTCCAAATTTTATGTTTTTACAGTAGAAAATATGTTTACTTCAACTTTGATCAAATTCCAACAATGTATAATAACAAAATAGTACACATTTGACAATTTGTCAATATTGTAAATATTCTTTTGTTGCCAAGCATGTATATATTTTTTTAAATCCCTTTCTAGTTAACATTTATAAATAAAATATCCAGTCATTTATGTTTAAAATTGTTATTTCCAATAATTCCATTGACTTATAGTAGTAGAATAAACATGTCATTCACAAGATTTCCTCACTCAGTTACATGCACATTTATTGAATTAATTATTAACTGATGCATTTCATAGCATCTTTTTGAACATATGTATGATTGCCATGCCATTTATTTTCTAATATTTTCTGTGTTTTTTCTAGCTCAACCAGAGTCAGAATCAACATCGTTATGAAAATCATCCATCTGATCGTAATGATCGTAACGATCACAATGCCCCTTATAGTTCAAATCGTCCAACTAGTGGCGATTATAATGACTATCTCCCTGAGCCTACCCCTCCCCCACCTGCTCCTCTCTCGCCAACTAGACTTGATAGTGAGGTTGAGAAACGCCGAGGAAAGAAAGGTGAATTTCGTTATTTTTAGTAATATCTGACTGAGTATCCATATTCAGGAGTTTGTAGCATAATATCTGATGACTGTCATGGACTTTTGACTCAATCATTTTGGCAAAATGACATACATGTATTTGAAGTTAATGTGGGAGCTTATATTACATATGTATAACATACGGTGTATCTTGCTTTCATGTTGGATGTAATGTTTTTACAAAGAATTCAATAATACTGCAGTTTGAAATAGATACTATTTTGTATATAAATTGAATAGACCTCATTGCAGGAAATATAACTGTTGATTGTCACTTTGGTCAACCATCAGGTCAAATAATTTCATAATGTTAGTAGCATAGCTATTATATCATACATATATTATGCTATTATATCATACATATATTATGCTAAACTGACAAATGATTAACACAGAAGTGTGCCTAACTTAATATTTATTATATTTTAATAGAAAGTTATATTGTACATATACGTATAATAACTTCAAATTACTAGCAAGTAATTATGCAACTCAATCTACTTTTCTGTTTCCCCGAAATTGTTAGAAGGTTCTCTGCTAGAGGCCTTATGTCAGAAAGGGTCAGAAATGCTGCAAATTTATTGAGTGCAATCAAAACAATCCAAATCCACAATCCTAATTCAAATTGAATCTTCTTGATATTCTATATCCTTTTAAAGGGTGACGCATATCGTTTAGCAAATCGAACGCTCGTTTCTGGTGTTGCTCACCGTTTAGTACAAAAGGCCCGATCCCGGAATAATACTCAAGGGTTCACAGGTTTGAGGTCGTTGTGTCAACACCTCTAACTGTTATATAGCATAAGTATATTATAGATCGTCACACATTTATAAAAGGGTGATTTTTATTTTGACAAATCAATTCCACATTTATGGGCGAAGTTTCAGGATCATCTATTTATGTATAATAAGGAAAAATTGGCATCTAAATTTCCCCATAACGTAATAGCACACAGCTTGGCATATGAAATATCCTAACAAAGCAAGACAAACCGGTTTCTAATGCAAGGATTTATATTGGCTGTTGTACATGTATTCTTTGAACGCAATCACTCTTTGGATAACGTTTTCAAAATCATTATAAACAGATTACTTTATCTCAAAGACAATTTCAATAAACTGGATTTTACAGAACTCCCCTTATTTCTTAAAAATGGACTGATCCAGTTGATTCGCCTAGAGCCGCCATATTGTTTTTATACGGGATGCTAATCGGAACCCTTTAAACATGAAAATATTCAGTTTGAAACTTTATTATTTCATCCAATGAAGGCTTAAAGAGAAGCCAGCTGTTCTTTTATCCATTTGTTCGTTTTCTTGTAAATTTAGTTTTCCCTAAAAATTACAAGATACATGGCTTTTTGGTGAAAATTGGGTCAACTTAATTTTTACATCCAACACATGCAGATTATTGCAGTCAATATAATGTCCATTTCTGTACCAATCCTGTAAAATGCGTTGGAGGGGATTGTACAATTGAAAATTCAACAAATCTGTAAGATTTATTTTTTCATGAGAAAGTTTACAAATAAATCTCTTAATGAATGAGCTTTATTATTACCATTGAGTTTAAAGTTGAAGTAACAGATCATTAAACAGATTTTTAGTGTCAGAATTACATACAGCACCTTTCAAAAAACAAGAAATGTCACTCCTACTGCAGTATCTGTCTCAATCTGTTGAGAACGTATCAACTTGATGAAAACTTAATTCCATTCACAATGAAGTTCATTGTTAAGCTTTAATTGGATGTTGAATGTGACCTCAAATGCTTCTGTATCACTGCTACCCACCTAATTACACAGACGTATCGTTGGTGTATCATGGCGGAACTTCCTCCGGGACTAGGTTTCGGTAAGATTTTTTTATTTCCCGATTTACACCTACTTATAAGTCACGTTGTGGATAATAATTTGGCTCGAAGTTAAGGAAGATAATCTAGTTTGAGAATGTGTCGATGGTTTTAGGTTTTATATGTTAACAAAGACACAATTCACATATTTAGTCCCTCGCTTTTCTTACACTGACGAACGACCAATACCAGTGTAATATTGGCAATATAAATGCCGATCGTCAGTGTAAGAAAAGCGAGGGACTAAATACGTGAATTGTGTCTTTGTTAACATATAAAACCTAAAACCATCGACACATTCTCAAACTAGACTATCTTCCTTAACTTCGAGCCAAATTATTATCCACAACGTGACTTATAGGTAGGTGTAAATCGGGAAATAAAAAAATCTTACCGAAACCTAGTCCCGGAGGAAGTTCCGCCATGATACACCGACGATACGTCTGTGTAATTAGGTGGGTAGCAGTGTGTATGGATGAACAAGATACTTTAAAGTGTAAAAATGAATATAATGTATTATTTATATCATTACTATGATTAATACAATATAGTACTAATCACACATGGAATAAATTAGTTTTAGTTGTTAAGGCAAGATCAACTTAAAGAAGAATCAGTATCTTCTATATATATAGTTTATTTTAGTTTATTCCTATTATATTCAGAGTAAATAACCTCTATATATTTACCACTACATACACATAAATGTATAGTTATTTAGCTTTAAATATTCTATATATGCAAGATGCATCAATATGTTATATTGCTATTATTATCCCACCAAGGAGGGATATAGAGAAACTGTCCATTCATTCATCCTTCCCTTCGTTCGGTCATTTGTTTATATTTCTAAAGGATAATTCAAATAATGGTTAATAGATGGTACACATTTTATGAGCTCATAATTGACAGCAAAGGACTTCTGCTTGGCTGCTCATTTCAAAATGGCCAATTTTTGAGATCTCAAACACCAGTAGATGGATTTGGTTCAAATTCTAGATGCTTAGGCCTTAAGGATGTTAGACCTCTGCTGAAGAAAACAATTTCAAGATGGCCACTGAATTCAAAATGGTTACCATTTTGTCATGAAAAAATGTGATTTTTAGAAGGGATTTTCAAAAATGGCTACTCGATTCGAAAAGGAATTCCTAATATGGTGTCCGGTTACATCATGAGACCCACTTTGCCAAAAGGCCCATTTATTTCTTTGTGAAATATTTTTAAGAATAACAATGAATTTAAAAAGTATGTTTGGTTTGATGGGATTTGCCACTCCGGGGAGTTGCTGTTTTTTCTAGTTAACTATTTTATTGTTATAACTATATATAATATATATACAGTATGTATAATGTAGGCATTGGCACTTGGCTGCAAATGATTTTTATTAACTCTAGGTTTCCTATTTAAAGTCATTTGTACACATTTGTGATATAAGGGAATTTATACCATTAACTTGTGATTTAAGTTGAATTGTTAAATGTTATACAATAATGACTTTAGCAGGAGCATGGTTTATTTTCAAATGAGTGTGAATAGTTTCAAGTAAATCATTTTCTACCTGTGCATCTATGACAAGAATGTTTTCAACGTACATGTACAAATTGGTTGCTAAATTGTTCATACAATTGTAATTGCAATCAATGAGCATTCGTTTTGATATATAATTTACTTGGTGCTCTATCAAAGCAAATGCTTCAAAATCAATCAACTTTTACATGGTTTCTCTTGACTGCCTATGTGCATTAGTTACAGCATAAGAAATTCTTTGTTACCTTTATAATGCATTGTTATCTATTGACTTTTATATTCCAGTCCATTTTTATATGAACATATTTTGGTTTGTCTGTAATGTATGACGTTTAGTCTACCCACAATCCCATGCAATCCAGGTCTGAAACTTTTTTTCACACTAACTTACATCATTGGAAACTTTTGACTGTTAAGGTACTGGGAGTTGATTTTTGCCTTCTTTTTAACCTGTTTTTGTTGACTAATACTTATTCTTTAAAGCCTAACATTTTCCTGTAGGTACTAACATAGAATAATTTACCCCATCAAACAAAGCTCAGGGGATACAGTTATTAGAGCTTTCATTTGCAACCAACTTCAGTGAAACATGTAAGGTGGAACACCTCTAGAAGTGGAACACCTCCCAAGTTGAACACTTATTAGAGGTACCAGTTATCCCACTTAGACAGGTTTTACTGTACTTTTGGCTCATAATAGAATTCTCCCATATATTGCAATAAATGTCAAAAACATGAAAACTATTTTGGGAATCACATTTGTCTTTTGATTTGTGACTGGTATTTCACACTTCTATACTTCAATCTTAATCTTCAGTTCATTATACTGGTCACCTGGAGCTTGGTATTGTGGGAAGCTAAAACTCTTTTAACTTATTAGAATATGGTATGAATGTTCAAAGACTAAATGTTGTAAATAAAGATCCTAATCATTTCTTACCTCAGAGTTCTCTTTAAAAATAGTCTCAATTAACTGATAACAATTTCCTTGAAATATAAAAGCAGTATATTTTGTCATCCATTTTAAATGCACTGGGTTAGCTATTGCATTATATGTACAATACAAATAATACAACATGGATTTGTACTTACATTATTGTTTTTATTCCATTTTGACACTGAGGTAAGCCTTGATTTCTTTGGTATAGGTCAGGGACGGCCTCGGAGAAGTCCATTATTAAGTGCACAAAGTAGTTGCATTATTGTTTAATTATTTGTGAATAGCAATCAATTTATAAAATAAAGCTTATTTTAAATGATATAACATGCATGTTTTAGTTTGTTCACTCTATATGGTGTACTAGCTGTCAAACTGACCTGTCACTTGGACTTTATTAAATTCTTGTATGGTTATTTTATTTGACAGCTAGTATAGTGTTGTAATGGTAATATTTATGTTTTCATTATCTTGTTCCTTTAATTTTTGTAGAGGCCCAGGGGCTTTTTGGTAAAAAGTGTTGTATTTCTAGTTCAGGACTATACTTATATGTCTTTCCAATCTTATTAAAACTCATTGTTTTTGCTTTTTTATTAAATGAATATATAGGTGTAACTCTGAAATCACTTGCTGATTCAATCGCTTTAGCTACAGATTTTATGCTATCCGTTTGCGATTTCTTGATGCCATGCACTCTTCATGTGTGTTTTAAGAATGTAAAAACAGCTTATATATCTAGAACTAGAGATGCACCAAATCTGCCCCTGGTCTCTACATATTTATTTTTGGATGTGAGTGTAAGAATGTTCTCCGCATGAAGTACGTGTGAGATCATAACATACCTGTGTGGGTTGAAATACTTCTCTGTTTTTTAGCTTTTGTTTTCATTTCTCCACTTAACCCTATTCCCCTATCTATCTCTGTTAACATGTAGAAAACTACCTGTACCTGGGCCCAAATGTCAGGATGCCCATTAACTTGTAAATTAAAGAAGAAACGTGTACGATCTGAAAATAACACTTTGGTTCATGATGCCAAACATGAAACGCTAGTTTCTTTGAGAATGCAGATAAAGGATGCAAGCGTTATGTGGAATGTTTTTGAAACTTCCAAGAAAGAATTCTGTGCATTGCATTGTGACTTTTATTTGCTATTATTAATTTAATATACTTCCCAATCTTTCGAATCATTTAATAGAATTATTTTTGATGACTCCAATATGTTCCACATAACACACATCGTCTTTTATGGCAGAAGCATGGTCAACCTGACATTAAGGACTTAAGTCGACCAAATATTGCATGGGATTTCCCCTCACAAATTGAACATACCTTGACAGTAAACGTTCAATACCTTTATTAATCAAGACAAAAGATATATACTATTTATACCTTAGATTGAAAACGAGTCCACGAAACTGGCCGAAACATGTAGACAAAAGTTTAGGACGGAAAATCCAAAATGGCTACCTTGAAAACCCAGCATATCAAAAGTGTAATATACTCCTCAAAAAAAGTTAAGGACCAGTGGTTTTCCTCATAGGTTTAAATGTCAACCCCCATATTTGTTCGAATATAGTCGTTCAAACAAATATGGGGGTTAACATGTAAACCTATGAAGAAAACCACTGGTCCTTAACTTTTTTGAGGAGTATATAATATGAAACACACAGGGACGCCCTTAAAACCAAGATATTTGGAAAAACATAAAATCCCCACAAACAAGTTGTAATGAGCAATATTATACAAAAGCCTTATAAACTAAGGGTACATATAACACACCCCATTTTACCAAGCTATGTAAAACAACTAAAAGCACATATGACAAACATACTTGAAAACACCCAAAAGTAAGCCGTATTTGTAAAACACGCTACAACCAAGGTGCATGTTGAACTATAGTGAACACACTAGGGTCACTAGGACGCAGTAACGAGGATATGGAAAATGTTCTGTTTAAAGAAAACGTAAGGGTTAGAGAATGTAAAATGTTTGAAGCAATCCAATGTTTCCTTTACTATACTTATTTTATTTTCTGAAAAAATAATGAAGATATCTGTTCAAATATAGAAGTCAAAAGATTAAGGATGTTAACCCTAGAAGCCCTAAGGTAAAGAAGTCACACAAACACTGAAGGGGATGGGGGTTCAAACGGTCACCCCCTTGTATTATTTTTATTAGTAGAGCTAGGATGTTCAAACTTTCCCCAAATATACCCCAAATATACTTCATTCAATTCTCTACAACTTTTTGTAATAACTTTAACAACCATGATGATGTAAGATTGCGTAATTTTATTCTAAAGACAACGCGTATGGTTGAATTAGTGCTAGCTTTTTTCGATTTTGTCTATTGGAGCTGATGATTACATCATAATAAGTTAATAACAAATTAGTAGAGCTAGGATGTTCAAACTTTCCCAAAATATACTTCATTCAATTCTCTACAACTTAATTGATGTAATAACTTTAACAACTTTGATGATATAAGATTGCGTAATTTTATTCTAAAGATAACACGTATGGTAGAAATAGTACTAGCTTTTTCCGATTTTGTTTATTAGAGCTGATGATTACATCATAATAAATCAATTAGCCTATGTTCAATCTTGCTGATATTTGCAGAAAACATTTGTTATATCTGTAGCTCCAGCTACTGAAAATTTGAAGATCCAAAAGTTATGGGGAAAAAAACTTCACGGGGGGGGGGGGTTAAAATGTGTAAGCTAATTTGATGATTCCTGATCTACAGTGAAAGCTCCACCACTTAACCTTCACGAGGAACTAAAGAGAGAGCTGACACATGGCAAAAACAGACAAAAACGAAACGTAAAACAAGGAGTGACGTTATACATTGGAACTGATTCTTCTGTGGATGAGGTGCAAGAGTGGATGCGTTCCAAAGAATTCACAGAAAGGTCACTAACAGTTTTTTTTTCAGTTTGACACGCAATCTTATTCCAACATGTTTATCAATTTCCTACCGTTTCGGCATTCCTAACTTTCTTTAAGTTTCTCAAAGCCTGACACTACACTAGAATATTTTTTGCCTCTTAAGTATTTCTGTATATACTAAGTATTTGCATTATTTTAGTGTAAGCAATTTGCTGTCAGGACAACTTTTGCCCAGATATTCAAAAAACGGTCAAAGGGATCATTTTAACTTGCTTTAAATTGACCTTTTTTTCAAAAAAATTACCTCCACGTTGCCAGGAGTTTATATCCAGGAGTTTGATGATGTCCATGTTATTAACAAAAAGTATGATGCACATTGCCTGTTTCAGCCCCATGTGATATGAATATCAGTCTGGCGCAGAATATTGCCATGATTATACACAACATCAATTAAACTACAGCCATTTTATGTTCATACTGTTTACAATAGATAATTCTTTTTTTCAGGACATGCAATGCTTTGATTGGAAAGACAGGCCTGGACATGTTCAATTTGAGTCGGAACCAAATGGAGACAATATGTGGCCCCGATGAGGCAGCAAGATTAGACAGTCAGATCAAAGTGCAAAAAAACATTAGTGGGGTGAGTCGCCATTGCTAAAATTTAATCATTGGTTTCATTAATACCAAGGATTACCCTCTTCTCTTACCTTATTCTCTTTTATTGCCCTTATTCGGACTAAATCACCGATCACGTTGTCTTTATAGACCAGCCACATTCTTTGATTATTCAATACGATAAATCTAGTACATTGCAGTCGTGTAGCTTTATCTTAATGCTGAATAATAATACTAGTACATTAATTGTACTTAATTATATCAGAAGTTTTTTGTTGCTTATGAAGCGTGTTAACAAAATTTTAAAAGTGCATTTTGTTTCTGTTAAACGAGTATTAACCGGATTCCATGATACCGTGAAGTTGCCTCTGTCCGTAAATATTAGCGCTCTCTGGTATGTTCAGCATTCTCAAATGCTCACGTACCATTTGCATTCGTTCGACTTCTCTTTAAGAGAGCTTCGTCTTCGAATGTAGTTTATAACTAGACTCTGCGCGCAGGGTAATGCTCACGGAATGTTGAGGTCCCGTTAGTACCCGTTTGGCTCGTTTGTTAGCGATATAATCAAAAATGTTATTCAACGATTCTGGAGGCCGTTTCTTGAAATTTATCGTTATTAACGAATCGTTAATCGTGGATTTGTTTCTATGGACACCACATCGTTAACGAGACCCCCAAGGAGGATTGGCTCCCAGAATGCAACACCGATATTCTGCAAAACAATCACCTAGCGATAGCTTTGTTGGAGAGTATCGGGTCATTCTCCATGCAGTCGTACAAATTATACAGACACGAATAGCAAATGACGCATGCGTGGAGATTAAAGAATATCGAGTTGGAACCCTGGCTTCCAATCCTCCTTGCGAGACCCCATTCGTACTCGTTTAATCAATCATGGATGATGAATAAATCGATAAAAATCACGACGTCATCGCGAATCGTTAACTTTCGAGAAACGGTAAAATCGTTATTAACAATTGTATTAACGATTCGTTAATGACGAAACTTTCGAGAAACGGCCTCCTGAGGAGTAATGTGATTGACGATAAACCAATGGAATAAAACAGAAGTCCATCTTTGCATATCATGGCACGATGGGAGGTTATTTCCCCTCTTCGTTTTGGGGAAACATTATAAGCAAAGTAGTGTCATTTACATCTGCATTGGCAGAGCTGACTAGTTACTTACCCTAAACAGAAACAAGTAACTCAGATTTTGATTAGAAATATCACTGAAAAATTATTAAAATGATGCTATTAATTATACATTTACATAATATTCTATTATATTACATTGTTAACTCTTTGAATGAATTGCCATGAATTGCAGCATAAACAGGCACCAGATAGTCGGTTACAACTAGTATGTATATCATCTCATTCAGTTAACAACCATGGTCAATATCATTTCAGGAGAAGGTATCTGCTATTACCATTGTCCTCTTACATTTTCTTAGCACACAGCTAACAACGTGAATGCTTTGTTCGCCAGTGACATATTCACATCACCATACCGTATGTCGTTGGACCGTAGTTTCTACATATGATCTGCGAAGTATTAATCAGATCGGAAAGTTTTTAAGTCACACAATATTGAATATATGGTCGAAAGGATGGGTATCGATATGGTGAACTGAATTCAACAATGTTTATCTCTTAAACCAATTATTGAAAACATTCTGGAAAAAACACGGTATTTTATGTAATGTTGACTGATTGACAACAATTTAATGCGAAAATCATTTTGAAATATTTTGTAAAACTGTTTTTGTTAACATTTTTTGTTTTTTTAGTGCAATTGTTTTTGCTCCTTTCTACCAATTCTTGAGAATGAAATAAAATGTCTTTCCGAACCTTGTTGGAACAAAATAACATGTTTTTAGACCTCTCATTATTATAGTTATACGAATTTTTGGTTGATTTTAAAAAAGTATTCAAAAAATTAAAACAAAATCCCCCCAAAATAGATAAAAAATTAAGATAAACCTTTTATTTCATTAACAAGATACTTTTTTAAAATCAACCAAAATTTCCTCTGTACAATTACAATATTGAGAGACCTAAACATGTTGTGTTTATGTCGTTTTGTTCCAATGAGGTTCGGAAAGATGTTTCATTTCACTCTGGAAACATGATACCAAGAACAAAATAAGTGTTTGATGTGTTTTCTAAAACAATATACATACCTGCCAACCTAAGACCAAAATTTTGCGGTAGATTTTTTTAAAATTGCTGTATTTTTGCGGTAGATTTTTTCAAAATACGGTAGTTTTGCGGTATTTTTCAATAAAATTGCGGTAGTTTATGCGGTAGATTTTAGAAAAAACGGTAGTTTTTGCGGTAGATTTTTTAAAAAAACGGTAGTTTTTGCGGTAGATTTTAAAAAAAACGGTAGTTTTTGCGGTAGATTTAAAAAATACGGTAGTTTTTGCGGTAGATTTTCAAAAAATACTGTAGTTTCAGAGGTTTAGGGTAGATTTTTGAAAAAAGTGTAATTTTGCTGTAGAAATTTGAAAAAAAGCGGTAGTTTTGCGGAAGATTTAGAAAAAATGCGGTAGTTTTTTAAAAATGCGGTAGTTTTTACGGTAGTTTTATGAAAAACCGGTAGTTTTGCGAAAGATTCTGAAAAAATGCGGTAGTTTTACGGTAGATTTTGAAAAAATGCGGTAGTTTTTACGGTAGGTTTTGAAAAACCGGTAGTTATGCGGAAAATTTTGAAAAAATGCGGTAGTTTTACGGTAGATTTTGAAAATTGCGGTAGTTTTTACGGTAATTTTTTGAAAAACCGGTAGTTTTTAAGGTAATTTTTTGAAAAACCGGTACTTTTGCGGAAGATTTTGAAAAAATGCGGTAGTTTTACGGTAGATTTTGAAAATTGCGGTAGTTTTTACGGTAGTTTTTTGAAAAACTGGTACTTTTGCGGAAGATTTGCCAAAATGCGGTATTTTTCGGTAGATTTTGAAAAATGCTGTAGTTAAACCTTTATACAATGCGGTTTTCTGTATTAATACAATGTTTCCGTGGTCATATTGTTGTTGTTATTGTGAATACATATTTTACTGCAAGAGTGCTTTTGATAATTACAGTTTGTAAAGCAGAACTACCACCTGAGAATTATACGAAACTATTATTTTCAAGAAAAAATAGATATACTATTTCCAAGAATAAATAGAGACTAAACACTTTTTATTCTTCATTTACCATGCTTACAATGGACTGACAGCAACTTTGGATTTTAATGTTTCAGCAAAATGTACACAAAAACAATGTACCGAGTGAAAGGTATTTCTGTGAAGGTTTTAATGGAACAGGTTTGAAGAAAAACGGTTTACTGTGAGACTCACAATCATTGATTTTACAAAGAAAGGGCAGGTTTAAAATTCAAATTAACGGTTTTGCGGGGCGTTTTGGTTTCAATACGCCCCGGTGAGTTAGTACTGCGTGATAATGTGTTCTGATGAAAAATACAACATTTTATCGTACTGTAAACAAATTGATTAAAACTATGTATAATGTATATGTGGCGTGTTACTGATCATAACAAATCAAACTACGCATATTTCATACGCTAAAACAAGTAGTTTTTGTCATTTCCTATCATTTATTTAGATGAAGCGCAACTAAAATCATATTTTTGTTGCAATCGGAATAAAGATCTGTGTACAAAAGGGTTTGGTTAACTACAAAAATCATGGCAGAAAGAATTCTTTCTAGCTAGTGGTAGTTGGTGTTTGGACTGATTACACGCAAGCTTACTTAGATAAATGCGCAATAAACTGATAACCATAGACCTGCCGATACCTATTTATATTCGGGTTGGTGAAGGAATATTACAGGGACAGTACAGGAAGACTTCCAATTTTTCAGCATTTCCCAACAATAACGGGAAATTTTACGGTAGTTAGAACAAAAATACTGTTTATTTTAGCAGAAATACGGTAGATTTTCGAAAATTTACGGTAGATTTTCAAAAATTTACGGTAGATTTTACGGCCGTTCTCATGGAATAAACTAGTTTTTTAAAAAGAAAATTTACGGTAGATTACGAAAATAATACGGTAGATTTTTTTACGGGCGTTTTTACGGGAAAAAAATGGTATTTTTTTACGGTAGTTTGTCATTTTTTTACGGAAAAACGAAAAAATTACGGTAGATTCCCGTAAAAATACGGTAGGTTGGCAGGTATGAATATAGATGAAAGTATATATTTTTTTTCAAATTATATTCATGTTACCATTCAAAAGATGACCATTAAATTGACGATGTGTTAAATTTTAGATTTTTTATGTCTAGTTTAAAGATTCTCGCAATCTTTATCCAATCAGCGTTTGCGAGTGTGTCGGCTCACGTATAAAAGGCGAATCCAACTCAAATCCATGCAGGGGTGTATGAGGGAATCGAGTAGGAAAGAGCTCGTGAAATCTGAATTTATATGCACATGGTCAATGTTTACACATGTTTGGAGTTTTTGAAGAAAATGTGATATGGGTGTGGTTCCGAATTTGAAGTCATTGCTGGAAAATATGATTTTGATACGTGAAATTATATCTATAAATACAGCACTAAAAATAACAGTACACATGAAGTAATGTTTGAAACCCTTACGGAAAATTCTGTCTGCATTTTATCACCATTGCTCTTTCTTCCCGCATTCTAGTGCTGTTTGAATGAATATATTAATTAATGTATTTCTAACTAAAATATATCACATTTTTTTATAAACCACAAACATTTAGATCATAAAAAAATATTCAATACTTGAGTGAGCACGATATGCAAGGGTTACTAAGTTGACACAGTAAATGACCACTGATATTGTGTTAGCAAATATGTATTAGCAGAATACACTGTGTGAATGGACTAACACCCCTCACTTTCATAGTGAAGTGACTAATTGGTTTATGTTTACGTTTTAATGTGTTTTGGGTTCCTTGTTACAGCAAGGGGGGCCAGTAAAGTAGACTAACATGTTTGCATGGCAAATTTTGATCGAATATGTGAGACACTTTAAGAGAAACGTGTGTTC